ACATTATTAGAATTAACATGCTCACTTTAAACTATTCCAAGATATTCGGTAAGTTTATAAGACACAATACTGTATATTTAGCAACTAGGTTCCCATTAAGCATAACAGAGCAACTAAGTACCAACAATTGATCATTCATGTCATACATATAAATATCAATTTAAATCCAAGATAGCATAACAGAATATACAGATTCATATGCTTACTATTATACCAAACCAACACTAACTGAAGCAAGTCGTTAAATTATATACGTCAGTTAATCCGTAGCTAGCAGTGATTAGAGTTTAAATATGATTATTCCTACCACTGTTCCATGACTAGTATGGTGTAACCATCCACTATAAATTGCAAATTAAATCATAGGCAATTAAACCTCTACATCTCCAAAAACGGTAACCAGATTTGCATCTAACAATTTATGCATTGTTTTACTATAAACAACAGTGTTTTAATCCACGTTAACCAACCCTTGGAAACTTTAATATGGCCTTAGAACATATTGAAAACCCCAATTATACCTTCTAACAGGATCTGAAATCTCCAAAATCCAACCCTCGTAGCCCAAACGGTCGCCGAAACATCAAAAACTGGAAAAACCTTGAACGAGCAGGCTCCAAACAAGTTGGAGCCACCTCTAAACAAGATTGAGCCGGCTCCAACTCACTTAGAGCCACCTCCAAACAACTTTGAGCCGGCTCCAAAATATTTTGGAGCCGCCTCCTTCTTCCTCTCCCCCGTTCCGCTTGTTTCCTTCAACTGTGTCCTCTCCAGCGACGTCCAGTTCATCCATCCTAAATTACTAAGGCTGCTACTAGTTTAAGTTATGTCTCAGTATGATCCAGAAATAGTTTAATGCCTTAGTCATTCACCGTCAACAATCGGAACAAGAATTATGCAACGAGAGGTTAAAGCGAGCAGTTTATAATTCAAGAACATGCACTGTTCTAAATAATTCAGTCATGTGAACCAGAGTATTATTAAGGCTTCTCAGAGTGTTATAAACTAGTTCAACTCTCTGTACATCAGTTTACATGACTTAGATTAAGAATTTCATAGGAAAGTATGTAAAACAACAATACACAACTTATGTCCACATTCAGTTTAAAAACATCAAAGACATGAACACCAGTTTAAGTTTGATTCTTATTTATTCCTGGAGTTGAATTAGACATGCAAAGAACACAAGTCAACGGGATAGAGTTAGGATTAGAACTTGCCTTTGAGATTTTGGTTCAAAAATCCCAATGTCGTCTTCTAAGTTTCTCCGGCGAACTAGGAAATCCTCCTCTGTTCCTTCTCTGCCTCCACCATCGTGAATAGGGTTCTAAAACCCTAGGCAGAACTCAATACCTATATTTATAGGTTTACATAAGACCTAGGTTCAATTCAAACCCTACACTAAATCCTAGTCGGCCCATAGAAAACCCTATTTAAAATCTACGTTGGCCAACATACGTGACTTTTCAAAGAACCCTAAGTACTGAATGTATTTAAAAAAAACTCATTTAACTTAATTACCTAATTAAACAATTCCTTACAACAGTGAGATTAAAATAAAACAAAATAGTGAGATCAAAATAAAACAAATAAACAAGTAAGCCAATTAAATACAAATTAAACATATAATTAAATTAAACCAACCGATCAATTTACACATCACGTAATTCAAATTTCACACATAGCCACATAAGCACTTAAAAATAATAAAATAACTACTAAAAACAATAAAATAAATAATAAAATTCTAATTATATCCTTTTCAAAACCAGGGGTATTACAACAGGGATCAAGTCATCACGTATTTATTTATTTTTATTAATTTTTTTTTTCTTGGGAGAGTTTAAACTTGTGTCAAAGAGTGTCATTTTTTTTTTTTTTTTTTTGGAGATAGTTTAAACTCGTATCAATGAGTTCTTGATTTTTTTTCCAGATAGACAGTTTAAACTCGTGTCAAGGAGTGTCATTTTTTTTTTTTTTTTTTTTTTTGAGACAGTTTAAAACTCGTATTAAGGAGTTCTTGATTTTTTTTTTTCTTTTCTTTAGGTAAACAGTTTAAACTCGTGTCAAGGAGTGTTATCGACAGTTTAGGCTCGTATCTGGGAGCATTCCAACTTTAATTATTCTTCAACTTTGCAAGAATCAAATGACAATCCAAGCTTATACTGGAGGGCACGGACTATCTCGTTGTCACTTTGAGGATTTTCTTTTTTGTTTCCTTGCCTTAATGCCCCTTTTGATTTTGCACTTTCGGTTGAAGTCATTGTTGTAACATGGTGCGTTTCTTGATGTAAGTTTTTCGAGATGATGCTTATAATGAAAGATGAAGCTATTTCGTTATCCGAGTTAGGAAGTATATTGTCTTCTTCTTCGGACTCACTTTTCTCAACTTTTTTAAGGTTGTCGAATATATCAGGAACATCTTCTCTAGCACCATGATTTTACATGCTAAGCTCCAAATTATGGGCTCGAGTAACAAGCTCTTCAAATGTGCGAGGCTTAATCCCTTGTAGGATGTAAAGAAGCTCCTAGCGCATGCCTTGCATACATGTTTCAACTGCAAAAATTTTAGACAAACGATCCTTACAGTCAAGACTTAGAGCTCGCCAATAGTTGATGTAGTTAACCACAGGTTCACCCTTCATTTATTTTGTGTTTGTAAGCTCTAACATACTTACAATACGATAAGTGCTATAAAAACGGTTGACAAATTCTAGTTCCATCTGCTCCCAATTGTCAATATCTCCAGTTTTGAGGTCTGTGTATCAATCAAATGCATTCCCTTTGAGGGAACGAACGAATTGCTTGACAAGGAGATCTCTGTTTGTATCATCATTGCCGCAAGTTTCTACAAAGTGTGCGACATGTTGCTTGGGATTGCCTTTTTCGTCAAGTTATTGAAACATTGGAGGTTAATACCCAACTGACATTTTTAAGATGTCAATTCTTTCCGTGTAAGGCTTTGAGTACATGCGAGCACTTTGAGAAATGCCACTGTATTGTTCTCTTATGTAATTTACTATCATGTCTTGAAATTGTTAGACAGAAAGTGAGGTGACAGAGGCAGCATCAATTGTTGGATTGGCAGACACGTCATTTTGGTCATCAATTGGAGTGTTCCCTGGCATGGAATTAGAATAAGGAATTCGGCCTTTGCTTGACTCAGCATTGTCGTCACGCAATTTTAACTTTTCTGTCAGTGAGGCAATTTTCAGATCTTGCTCCTTGAGAGAGTGTTGTAATCTTTCAATTGCATGGGCTATAGTCGTCAATTGCTCTTTGTATGAAGTAATACTCATCATTATGACTGGCATAGTGATGGAGTCAGAAAAAATCTTTGGCCTTGAATGGACCAACCTTGAACTTGAACTTATGACTGGAGCAACTTTTGTGGTTGTAAGAACCTTCCTCCTTGCCCCCAGCGAGGTGAAGGCAGTATGAGTTTGAGTTGTTACTTTGACAGATTTAGCATAATCGACTCTCATTGCATCATACTATCTTTTGGCAGGAACAGATGCTTTGACCATGTTCCACATCATTAAACTTACAGAGTTGTTTGTACCACTTGACGAAGTTGCAACCTTCTTGCCACCTTTTGTGGTGGTGATAATGTTACCTGTCATGACTGCGATGTCCTTAGTGTTATTCTTGCTCTTCATCTGAATCTTATTAGAAGTCATAGAATCTGACGATGAATTTGTTGAGGATTTGATATAGGAGAAAGAGATGAGAGGCAGAGGATGTCCCACCGAGCATGCCAGAAATTTGTACACACAAATTTTGTTGTCTACAAACAAATAAGAACAAAATATAGAGCAAATAATAATATTTTATTAATTTATAAAATTGGAGTACAATCCTCTGTAATAATATTATTTACAAAGAATAAGGTTCTCTAATTCGATCTTCTTTTTTGTTGGTTGGATCCAAGGGCTACACGAGCTTGATCTTGAATTACCGTGAAATTTGATGAAGAATGACACGATTTGATGTGCTTGTTGTTGATCACCGTGGAATTTGATAAAGAATGGCACAATTTGATGTGCTTGTTGTTGATCACCGTGGATTTAATGAAGAACAACACGATTTGATGTGCTTGTTGTTGATCACTGTGAAATTTGATGAAGAACGGCATGATTTGATGTGCTTGGTGTTCTTCACTTTTGGGCAGAGTTTCTGTATTTCTATCTGGAATTCTAGATTTCTGGTCCTCTAAATTTCTGGACCTTCTGGATTTCTAAATCTCTGGATTTCTGGACTCTGAATTTGTGTACCCCTTCCTTCTCCTCCAGGCCTCTATTTATAGGCTTCTTGGATCCATAGGATGATCACACGTGTCATCTCCTGATAAGGATAAAATCATAACTGAGTCAGGTATATTATGATAATTATCCTTAAAGACAATTATTCCATCAGGGCTGGACTAATTAAATAATTTAAGTGGACCAAGTTTGGGCCAATTAAGTAACTTAATTAAACATTGACCCATATTTAATGGGTTAATTTGTCAAAATTAAAGCCCACTAAAATTTTAGTGTCTACACACGTCTTGGCAAATGAACCACCACCACCATCTCCATCCTTAAAGCCACCACCAACACGACCATCGTCTCCATCACCGAGCTCCCATTATCGTCCAAAGGGTATCTCTCCCCCGCCATCATCGACGCCACCTCCGACAGTAACATACCCACTTCCAAATCCTACCAAATCAAATTTGGCATTTACAGTATACATATAGATATATGCATATGTATAAAAATGTATATTATATATATTTACATAGAGGTATAATGACTTTATAAGGGTAAATGTGTTATTTAAGAATTTTGATATTTTATAAATTAAATTAATAAAATATTAAAGGGTAATGTGAACTTTTTACGATTTATAGAGATTTTTGGATTCAATTTTTGACAAGGAAATGTCATTTTTAAAAAATAGGACAACTTGCATTTGTCTATACTTGTGTCAAACGGTGTTATTGTACTTTACGCCCCATTTATCGGTGAAATTGAAGCCATAAAGTTTTGCCTCACCTTGACGCTATCAGGTCAAGTGAGAGGCATTTTCTTTGCTTCCTCCGAAGAGGAGCTGGTGTTATTGTACTTTACGCCCCATTTATCGGTGAAATTGAAGCCAAAAAGTTTTGCCTCACCTTGACGCTATCAGGTCAAGTGAGAGGCATTTTCTTTGCTTCCTCCGAAGAGGAGCTGAGCTTTCTCAATCTTCTTCTTCAATGGCTAAACAACATGAAGAACAACTCCCACAAGTTCTGATCCTCCGACCACCACCGGTTTTCACACAATTTCAAGATGAATTCTCCAAAAAGTTCCAAATTCTCAAAGCTTGGGAATCTCCACTCTCCACCCAACTCTTCCTCACCACTCACGCCCAATCCGTCAAGGCCATTCTCTGCTCCGGCCAAAGTTCGGTCACCACCGACGTCCTCCGCCACCTCCCGGAGCTCCGGATCGTCGTTACCGCTAGTGCAGGGGTCAACCACATCGACCTGCCGGAGTGCCGGCGGCGGGGAATCGCCGTCACCAACGCCGGAGCTGTCTTCTCCGAAGACGTGGCTGACATCGCCGTCGGGCTGTTGATCGACGTACTGAGAAGAATCACCGCTGCTGACCGGTTCGTTCGCGGCGGACTTTGGCCTACTGTCAGCGACTATCCTCTTGGTTCCAAGGTCTTCCCTCAACAATATTCCTTACACGTGTCAAATTATTTATGATGTCACATTTTTGTCCAAGTCAAAACCTTTGTTTTTTTTAAAGTAAAAATTTAGGAGTACAAATAGTCAAATTATTAGTGTCACATGTTTTTCCATACTGTTAGTACCCTAAGTATTGCCACCAAGAAAAGTTTTACTTAGATATCTTGATTTTGTGGTTAAATATGGAAAAGTTCATAAATTTTATTATAAAGAGTGTTGTTGATAGCATTACTTTAATATATCATGGTTTAACAATAATTATGTAATTGTTACTAATAAAGTTACTTCAATACTTTATGTTAATCAAGCTACGAATTTCTGCTTTTTATTATTAAAAAAATAATAATAAAAATAAAAAATAACATTTGTCCCCATTGTTACCGACTCTGTCAATCATTGAAATGAACATCCAAAAAGAGAGAGGTCATATCCTTATGTAATACTAAGGATGCGTCGAAGATACATAACAACATCGTCAATATTTGTAACATTACTCTAATCACAATAATACACATACACGAGAAGAATGTACATGTGTGCATGTCTATCGTATATATGTGCACAAACATACATGTATCATTTAGGAAAAAGTACAATAACACTCCCTGAGATTTGGTATAAGGACAGACATATACAAATTATCTTATTTTTTGACGATGCCACCTGCTTAAGTTTGATAAAGTTGACAAAGATATCCCGACAATGATGAATTGACTTTATTATCCTTTGACACATTAAATTCTTAATTTAAACAATGCAACTTTTTTTTATTGACTTAAATACCCTTAGATCAAATAGGTGTAAATGGGTTACCGGGTACAACCCATATGAGAAACCCAATTTTTCTCTCCTCACTCTCTTCTATTTCCTTCCTCAAACCCTAACCCAAACAAGCCGCCATTGCCCCTCCCTCAAACCCACCACCATCGCCAACAATAAAGTTGTCGTCGTACACCTCTTTGCGAATGAACCACCACCACCATCTCTATCCCCAAAACCACCACCAACACCACTATCGTCTCCATCACCGAGCTCCCACTATCATCTAAAGGGTATCTCTCCCCCGCCATCACTGGCGCCACCTTCGACGGCAGTAGACCCACTTCCAAATCCGACCAAATCAAATTTGTGGTTTACAAATATATGCACATGTATACATATCACTTACCTCTTTCGAGGTTAGGTCTAATTACACATAGTACCCCTAACGTTTCAAATATTACACTAACCTCCCTTAAGATTAAGAAAAGCATACTTACTCTCACTCATAGTAATCAAACCCAGATTAAAAAAAATTTAGAGAGAGGAATATAAAATTAAAAAAAATTAAAATTAAAAGGGCTTTCTGGGATTTCATTGTGTGAAGAGCTTGAGGATCACAACATCCCCAAATGGGACTCTCCATCACTGGCGGCAAGCTGTTTTCATGTCCTTTCCCGATGAATTCCAGACATACTGGTAATCAAACAACAGTTAATGCATGCAATCAGTGGAAAACCATTACAAAAAATAATTTCTAAGAAGTAGATCAAGTCGAAGAAAATAGGAGAATAAGAAAAAAAAACAATTTACAGAAAATGTTTAGAGAAGAGGAGAATAAGAAGATCCATGCAAAAATTGAACTCACCGGAAAAGAGGTAGATCCAGTCGAAGAGGTCGCGCAGAGGTCGCTGTTGCTTAGAATCTGGTGAACGATAGTTGAAAGGTGTTGGATTGAGAGGTCGAGATTGGGAGGCGAGAGATTGAGAGGCGAGTGGAAGACAGAGGAGAAGAGTGTCACAGACTCACAGAGGCGAGAGGAGAAGACTAAAAAGAGTGAAAAGAAAAGGAGCGGCTGAAATGAGATTGGAATAATGAATAGGCGAGGCTGAGTTAGGGTTAGGTTAACATTAAAAGAATAATGAAAAAAGAAAGAAAAGAAAAAAAAAATACGGTATATTGTATAATATAAATATATAAATATATTATTTATTTAACGGTTCGGTTCGGATTGACTAACGGTTCGTATTGGCAACGGTTCAGTTCAGATCGGTTAACGGTTTGGATCGATTTTTTCAAGGTCCAATCCGTTAATCGAACCGCGAATACCGAATTGCAAATTTTCTAAACCATCACCGAACCATGAGATCTGAAAATCGAACTAAACCACACGGATCGAATTGATTCGAACCGGATTGACGAATTATTTGCTCACTCCTAATTTAAAAGGTATCTCTCCCCCGCCATCACTGGCACCACCTTCGACGACAGTAGACCCACTTCTAAATCCGACCAAATCAAATTTGTGGCTTACAGTATACATATGCATATGTATACATATCACTTACCTCCTCCGAGGTTAGGTCTAATTACACATAACACCCTTAACGTTTCAAATATTACACTAACCTCCCTTGATATTAGCTCTGTCTTTAACACTTTCCCCCTTCTCGCGAAGGGGTTAATGATAATTTTTAATGATATCAGCCATTTTTAAGCATGAAATGCCACATTTGACCTAAAAAAATTACAAAGACATTTACATCCCTATTTTTATTATTTAAAATTACTTATATACCCTAATTTTATATAACCTCCTCCTTCACCACCTACCTTAATCTTAGCCCTAGATTTAGACACCCATTAACCTCCTCAACAAACCCATCAACCATAAACCCTAGAATGAACATAAACCAAGGAACAATTTCAGAATAGCTCCGCGGCCCACTAGTAAATCCAGTCCTCGCCGTCGCCGTAAAAAATCCATGCATCACCGTCTGCTCAAAGCCCAACAGTTTGTCGCCGGTGTGTTTAAGTCATCTTTTTATCACCATGCGAGAACGAGTTGTAACCCAACTATCGCACTGTGAAACCACGGCGGGATTTACCCATCCATCTAACGAGTCAACAAACATGAAATCGTTCTTCAACTCTTCCGAGTCATAACCCGTTCTCAGACTCGGTAACTCAACTATCTCGCTCAACTCATTCAATGCCGAAAGTTCTTATATAAACGACGTCGATGACGGCGGCAAGGACGGTGGTGGCGGAGGGTTGAGGTGGTCCATTGACGCCGCCTTGGACATCACCTGGAGATTATGAGACGGGCCAGGGAAGCAACTCGGTGAGTTCGGGCCACCATTTCTGGGGTAGCGAAAGTTTCGAGCCAGATCCGTGAGTTCTTTCTAGGCTCGTGTATCTCGAATTTCAATTTGCCCCATGTTTACATTCAAACCCCTCTGTATATTCCATGTTTGCTCTCTCTCCCCTCTTGTTTCGTTTCTGATTTGGGCTCTTTTGGGTCTGAGTTTTGATTCAATTTAGATAGCCCAGATGATGATGAAGGCGAGTTTGGTGGTGGTGACGAGAACGAGTTGGTACTAGACTCGGTCTCTAGTGGATCACGCATTATGGATGGGGTAATCTGAACCCAGACCAATTTAACCTGACTAATTCAGTCATTCTTTGGCTGGAGAGAGAAGTATCAGATGAGTAGAAAATGAAAGAAATGTTGAATAAAGCGAAAAGAGAATAATCCAGTCATTCTTTGCCTAACCTCGAGAGAGGTTAGTGATTTTTTTTCTATTTTTATTTTATTTTATAATTTAAATTAATTAGGACTATCTGGACTCTTTATAATTTGCCTAACCTCGAGAGAGGTTAGTGATTCAATTTTTGACGAGGGTGTTATTGTACTTTACATCACCACCATCGTGGACCCCCACCCACCCACCCCGCCAATCTTTTTTAGTGAAATTAAAACCATAAAGTATTGCCCTACTTTACGCAATCGGGTCAAAGTGAGAGGCATTGTCTTTGTTCCCTCCGAAGAGGAGCTGAGCTTTCTCAATCTTCTTCATCAATGGCTAAACAACAAGAAGAACAACTCCCACAAGTTCTGATCCTCCGACCACCACTGGTTTTCACACAATTTCAAGATGAATTCTCCAAAAAGTTCCATATTCTCAAAGCTTGGGAGTCTCCACTCTCCACCCACCTCTTCCTTACCACTCACGCCCAATCCGTCAAGGCCATTCTCTGCTCCGGCCACAGTGCGGTCACCGACGACGTCCTCTGCCACCTCCCGGAGCTCCGGATCGTCGTTACCGAGAGTGCCGGGGTCAACCACATCGACCTGCCGGAGTGCCGGCGGCGGGGAATCGCCGTCACCAACGCCGGAGCTGTCTTCTCCGAAGACGTGGCTGACATCGCCGTCGGGCTGTTGATCGACGTACTGAGAAGAATCACCTCTGCTGATCGGTTCGTTCGCGGCGGATTTTGGCCTACTGTCGGCGACTATCCTCTTGGTTCCAAGGTCTTCCATCAACAATAGTCAAATTATTTATTGGGTCACATTTTTTTACTTTTTTTTTTTAAAACTTAAAAATTAAGGAGTACAAATAGTCAAATTATTAGTTTCACATGTTTTTCCAGGCCGTTAATATCCAGTAATGCAATCAAGAGAAGTTTCACTAGATATCTGGATGGAGAAATTCTTAAATCCTATTATAAAGAGTGTTGTTGATAGCATTACTTTAATATATCAAGGTTTAACAATAATTATATAATTGTTACTAATAAAGTTACTTCAATACTTTATGTTAATCAAGCTATGAATTTCTGTTTTTTATTATAAAAAAAAAATTAACATCTGTCCCAATTGTTACCGACTTTGTCAATCATTGAAATGAACATCCAAGAGGAGAGAGGTCATATCCTTACGTAAACTAACTGAGGGTGTGTCGAAGATGCACAACAAAATCATCAATATTTGTAGCATTACTCTGATCACAATAATACACAAGAAGACATGTACATGTCTATGGAATATTTGTGCACAAACATACATGTATCATATCAATCTGTATATCTCTAAAGAAAAATGATATATAATTCGACAGTCGGACAAATCCGACTTTAGTCGAATTGTTTGATTCGAGTTGGACTTGACGTTACGATGACATCAACATAATGACATTAGTGATGGAGCTGGCATCTTTCCGACGTCAGGCTTCAACCTCCCACACGCATAAAAACAGTCGGAGATGTCCGACTGCCAAGTCCCATATCGGGACTCATTCCTAAAATGCTAGTTTGGTCTCAATATGCCTTCCAAATAATTATGCATTACTACTATTAATTAAGCAAACTAATTTCTTTATGTTGGCATATTAAGTAGTAAATGTAGGCATGTAGATTTCATTGTAGTGACTAATTAGTGGAACATTTATTTTCCTCATTTGATGACGTGATGATGGTTGATGGTAATAGTTGGGAGGCAAACGAGTTGGGATTGTAGGATTGGGAAGCATTGGCTCAGAAGTTGCAAAAAGGCTTGAGGCCTTTGGCTGCATCATCTCATACAACTCGAGGAAGAAAAAACCCTCTCTCTCGTACCCCTACCACCCTAATGTCTGTGACCTTGCAGCTAACAACAATGTTCTTGTGATTTGTTGTGAACTAAATGATCAAACTCGCCACATGATCAACAAAGAAGTCATGTCAGCGTTGGGAAAAGATGGAGTCATTGTGAACATTGGACGCGGGGCTATCATCGACGAGAAGGAACTGGTTCGATGTTTGGTGCAAGGAGAGATTGGTGGTGCTGGCTTGGATGTGTTTGAGAATGAACCCAATGTTCCTAAAGAGCTCTTTGCACTGGACAATGTTGTGATGTTACCACATAGAGCTGCCTTCACAGAGGAAGCTTTCTACGACGCATTCCAGCTTGTGATGGGCAATTTAGAAGCTTTCTTCTCTAACAGACCTTTACTTTCTCCGGTCATCGATGAATGAATGAACTGAGTCAAGCTATCGTGAGTTAGCTTCCTCATCATGTTCCAAGTGTGTTTTAGCTAGCATATATTTGTTCTTGTGGAAGTCAATTACTGGCAGAAAGTATGTGCTTTTTTATTACAATCTCACCAGACAACATTGTTTTGTGGATTTAGCTACATTTCTTCTTCACTATTGAATGGGAAAAATAGTAGTTCAAAAACAGAGTTTAAAGAGTTTTAGCATATGAGGTTGCAGAGAATGGGTCCATATACCATGTACCCTTTAAATGATGTGATTAATTTCAAGTGTTGGTCTGATAAATCATTAGATCAAGACTTGAGTTTTATAAACTAACTCAACCTCAACAAAGGCCTTATGATATGGGTCAAAAAGGTTCATCCCCATTGCTAAGGGTCTAAAGACTATAGAATGATATTCCTGAAGGGCATTGAGTAGAGAGAGTCCACTAAAAGCTCGTTTGGCTTCTTTACAATTTAAAAGCGTTTTTATTTTTAAAAATTTTATTCAGATGTGTTTGATAATTATTAAAAGCGTTTTTAATAGTTACCAAATTTAGTTTAATAGAGCGTTTAAATTAAACTATAATTTGGAGCTTTTTAAACTGGGTTCGAAATAGAGGTTGAATATTTTAGGTAACTATTTTTCATTAGTCAATTATGTCATTTTTATTTTTTATAAAGAAAATTACAAGCATTCCTTAATAAAATTGTTATCATGAAATATAGTAACATGGTATTAAAGGATATAATTTTAAAATAAGCAATAAAAATGTTTAAAAAATTTTTGTTACAAAATAAATTAAAAAATAATTTAATTATAAAAATTTAATATTTTAATATGTCACCAATCAGATAATATGCTTTGGAAAAAGCTTGCCTTTGACCACATAAGTAGGACTCTCCTTCTTATATTGAGATGGAACAATAACAATATGACATGTGTCAAAAAAATTAAAAAATTAAACCTGAATCATCAGAATCTTTTCACGAGTCATCCAAATAGGAAAATGAATTTTTTTTTTTTTTCTTAGTTGAGTACTCACACACACATGCCTCCACAGAAGTTCAAACCCCTGACCTATCTTTGAGAAGTAGGGGTTTGGTACTGTTAAACCACTGGCATGTTGGTAATAGGAAGATGATTTTCTCTTATACGTGTGTAAGACCTAGTAACGGGCTCACCCTCTCTTTAACTCACGATCCTGTCTCTTCCCACCAACCCGCAACCGACCCCCACTACCTTCACTACTTGCCACCTCCTCCATTCTCAAACCCAAATCTTTTAAATCCAATATTTAGAGATGATTCAAGCTAACACATTCGTTGTCTGCTATCTATGTTGCAACCCCATTTCCAGAATGACTTAAGAGGGCGACCAATTAATAAATACGCATAGTGGCATCCAAAATTTTGAGATTTATCACCACCTGTTGCAATCTGAAGCCAAATTGATTTCCTTAAACTCCATTGATAATTGAAGTCTTACCAGTGTGGTTAATTTATCATGTTTTGGCTATTTGTTTAGCTTCTGCATAAGGAATATATATTCCTTTTGAATGATCCGTAAAAAGATCCAAACAATTTTTATTTATTATTTTAAATTTATTTTGACACATGTTATATTTTTATTGGTCCATGTCAGCATCAGAAATACATTCCTACGTATGCGGCTTGAAGCAAACATTGTTCATATGCTTTTTACTAATAGTAATTTTTAAGAAAAAAGCTTGCCTTAGACCGCATAAGCAGGATTCTCCTGCTTGAGTTCTTATTCCAATAGTAATTCCAAAGTTGCTCTAAAGTCTAAAGAAAGAACTTTCAAATAAGTTATTTCAAGAATAACTTTCTAAAAGCATCTCCAATGCAAAATACTATATTTTCATGTTAAATCTATATTTTGAGAGGAGGTACAGTGTCAAAATATTATATTTTTACAATTCTACTCCAATGGTGCATTTTATCCAAAATACTATTTTTTTGACATAGCAAATCGTTCCATATTTTGAGAGCCCATGGAATACCTTATTTTTATTTTAGTAATTTTTGACAATTTCAAAATATGAGAGGTCTTTTGAGAGTGCTCAATTGAGTGCCTTTTTGTTATATTTTGATTTTGAGACAAATTATGAGAGGTCTTATTTTCATCCACTTGGTATATTTGAAAATACATTTAAAAATCTCAAATTATGAAAAGTCTTTAAAGAAACTATTAAAATACTTTATTTTTATCCACTTATTATATTTTTAGTTTAAAAACCCACTTGAGAGAGGCCATTTGAGATGCTCTGATTTAAGTCTATGACTGACCCAAGGCTTACCTGTCCAAACCTTTTAATCTTCAAGAATGACCTTTGTGTTGAGAGTCTTCATCTTTTACTTTCATTGTCCTTTGACTTAAAAAATATCTTATAATTTAATCTATAACAATTTTCAAATGATATCCACATTGTTTACAATTCATCAACATATTTCTTGTCCCCAAGATTAAAATCTTTGAGTTAGAAATATTAATTTTCTACGTATACATAATTAATATGTATATGTATGTGGTGTGTACATGTATTTATACACCCTAAAATTGGGAGAAAAGTGTGCAGTCCTTTGCCCCAGATTCCCCCTCACAATCAAACCATGACAAAAATTGAATCAAATTCTCAAATATAATTTGATTGATGAATTATACTTCTTCAACACCGGATTGGTTCTCTTCTTCCTGCTTTCAAGTTTCAGTTCTGAGCTCTCAATCTTCATCAATGGCAACACAACTCCCTCAAGTCCTGGTCCTCCGTCCGTCACCGGTTTTCACACAATTTCAAGTGGAATTCTCCAACAAATTCCAACTTCTCAAAGCTTGGGAGTCTCCGCTCCCCACCCACCACTTTCTCACCACTCAGGCGCGCTCCGTCAAGGCCATCCTGTGCTCCGGCAACAGTCCGGTCACAGCCGACGTCCTCCGCCACCTCCCGGCGCTTCGGATAGTCGTCACGGCCAGCGCCGGGGTAAACCACATTGATCTGCCAGAGTGCCGGCGGCGGGGAATCGCCGTCACCAACGGCGGAACTGTATTATCCGAAGACGTGGCTGACATTGCCGTCGGGCTGTTGATCGACGTATTGAGAAGAATCACCGCTGCTGATCGGTTCGTTCGCGGCGGACTTTGGCCAACTGTCGGCGACTATCCTCTTGGTTCCAAGGTCTTCCCTAATCTATCACTCGTATGTACACACTACACACACAGTCACACACACACTAGACATATTTGCGTATTCATATTTCATAAAATGTTGTTTTATACGAAGGTTTAACAAATTTGATAATCATTGCAAAAATAAAAGATATATTTTTTTATGTTTTCTTCAAATATAAGTTTTTATTATTTTAATAATTTTTTAAAATATTTTTCGCTAAAAACTTTAAAAGATATATTGGTTTATGTTTTCTTCTACGCTATGTTTTCAATATTTTGAAAACTTATTTTATGTTTTTCGTGGAACATATTTTTTAAGAAATTTAAATGAATATAAATATAATGACATTACATAATTTCTCACAAATAATTAAATAAAATAAAAAGATGTTACATATTTTTTAACATTTAAATAAGATCCGTCCACAAGAGAGGATCCTGATTAGCTTTCGTGCACCACCATGTCATTGCAGATCCTTTGCTAGCGCACATTACGTAACTCATAGACAGTCATGATCACGTTTGAGTGGTCGTGAACGTCCACTGCAGAGGATCTAGACTTTGGCTAATCATTGTGAGTGTGTAGATTTCATTATATTAGCTAATTAATGTAACATTTGTTTTCCTCATTTGATGAAGTGGTGGTGGTTGATGATGATATTAGTTGGGAGGCAAACGAGTTGGGATTGTAGGATTGGGAAGCATTGGCTCACAAGTTGCGAAAAGGCTTGAGGCCTTTGGCTGCATCATCTCATACAACTCGAGGAAGAAGAAACCCTCTCTCTCATACCCCTACTACCCTAATGTCCGTGACCTTGCAGCTAACAACAATGTTGTTGTGATTTGTTGTGAACTAAATGATCAAACTCACCACATGATTAACAAAGAAGTCATGTCAGCATTGGGGAAAGATGGAGTCATTGTCAATGTCGGACGCGGGGCTATCATCGACGAGAAGGAACTGGTTCAATGTTTGGTGCAAGGAGAGATTGGTGGTGCTGGCTTGGATGTGTTTGAGAATGAACCCAATGTTCCTAAAGAGCTCTTTGCAATGGATAATGTGGTGATGTTACCACATAGAGCTGCCTTCACAGAGGAAGCTTTCTACGACGCATTCCAGCTTGTGATGGGCAATTTAGAAGCTTTCTTCTCTAACAGACCTTTACTTTCTCCGGTCATCGATGAATGAATGAACCGAGTCAAGCTAATCTTGAGTTAGCTTCCTGTTCTAATTGTATTTTAACCAGGTTCTATTTGTTCTTGTGGAAGTCAATTACTGGCAAAAAGTATGTGCTTTTTTATTAAAATCCCACCAGACAACCTCTGGTTGTTTTAACGATTTAGCTCCATTTTTGAAGTCAATTACTGGCAGAAAGTGTGCAACATCTGATTGTTTTATGAATTTAGCTACATTTTATCTTCGCTATTGAATGGGGAAAATATCAGTTCAAAAACAGAGTTTAAAGAGTATTAGTCCATATAACATGAAATCTTTCTACCATCAATTTCACTGCTGATCAGGTAAATCGAAATCAACTTCATTTCGGTGATTGAAATATGTTTACCTAAATAATTAAGAACAAAATAAGGTGAATCTTTTAAGTAGTCAATCACTAGGAAGAATAGCAACAAATATTCATGACAACCTGGTTATTAAGCCATTAACCTTGAGCTAAATATTCAGGGTGGTTAAGCATAGATTAGCCTGTTAGTATTGCTTTTTTTTATTATTATTATTTTTCTTCGGAAAGTAAAAGTATTGCTTATTTTTCGTTACATCTTAACCTTCACATGAAAATTTCCAAATATGAAGGCATCGATTTTGAAATTTTATATGAAGGCATTGAGTTCAAAAGCCTGCTTTCATCTATGTAACAGGGGTATAGGCAAGCAGAGGGTGTTTGCTCTCTAATTTAGTAGCCAAGTCATTGAAGAAGGAAGGAAAAAATAGAATGGCAGTGAAGGATTAAGAACAGCAATACTCTATAAAACAGTTATTTACAACTGCGATATTCAGATTTAAAGTCAAAATCTTTAAATACTATTACAAACAAAGCATAAGCAAGAAAGGTAGTGACAACAAATTTACAAGCTGACAAAAAATACCATAATTACAGCATTATCATGCTCAAGCAAAAAAAAGGCAGGGCAACTCAATTATGAAAATAAGGTTCAAAGAGTGTCACACAAGGATTAGGATCATACTGCATAATTTCAGCAGCCCGTTCAAATTCTTCCCTCAAGACTCTGATGCTAAACTTGTCCACTACTCGACCCAGGTCATGAGATATTTCAAAGGGATCCTCTATGCATATCAAATGGCGCTCATTCCCGATTCTCCTTGTCCAATCTTTGGCTCGCTTGCTTTATATAAACATACACACATTAAGGCTAGTAGTGGATCAAATTAAAGTTTTACACACATCAAATTCATATTTATAATTGAAGAACAATTCATTCTGACGTAAAATGAACATCTTACCTTAGGATGCTTCCTGTTCGAACTGATATAACATCATTTGTATAATCATGAATATATGCCCAATAATTAAAGAATGCCCATACCAATTGAGCAATGCTTTCCCTATTACGGCATCCAAAATTACGAAGTTTCTCAACTTGATCAAAATAAGCACATTCAACATTTTCTACCGTAACAACGTAGGTTCTCTCCATTTCCTGAGAAAATAATAGCAAAGAATGGATCAAAAGGAAAGCCAAGCACAGCCATTGAAAGAAATAATGTACAATACATGTATCTGGGGGAGTATGGTAGCTGTTAGAGATTTCATGGTAAATCATATTTCGTTTAGAGTTGGAATTGGCACTTCAATTAGTCTTTTTAAGGATGCATGATGTCAGGGTCAAACAATATTTCAAAGGTTCACTTAGAATATGTAGAGACTTGAACATTCCCATAAGTGCTACTTTAAGCAGCTTGATTGATAATGATACATGGGTATATCCTCATTCTTCTGCATCTAGGTTGCAGCAGTTGAGGAAATTCACTTTGTCAATCCCGATTCATGGGGGTGAGGATTCTGTTTTGTGGTATAGTGGTGATTTATCTTTTAAGAAGACTGGCTGCTCTGAATAGATCTTATTCTACTGTGCATTGGCTTCCTCTCTGTTGGAATGGCTCTAGACCTAGAGTGGAAATTACTTGCTGTTTAATGTTTCATAACAAACTCCCATCTCTGGCTAATTGAGAAACAGGGGTTTATGCCTTCCCATGTGTGTCACAATTGCTTTGCAGATGCTGATATGAGGGACCATCTATTTGTCTGCTGTGAGTTTGCTGCATGTGTTTGGAGGTGGTTCTCAAATTTATTTACTTGGAATTATTCAGGGTGTTCTACTTTGTTGCAACTGGCTGAGTGGTTTATGAACCTGCAAGGGGCTGCTTCAGCTAGGAAGTTTGCTAGAAGACTTTTTTCAACTACCATTTGGTATATTTGGAATGAGAGAAATCTTAGGATGCATAAAGGAAAATGTAGAGCTACTGAAGAAGTGGCTGAATTGATTTGTTGGGAGGTGCTCAATATTTCTGGTCTATTGTTCCCAGATTTACGTGTTTTGTCTAACATCCACTGAGGTTGGTTTTCTTCTCTTAGTCCAGTTCTGCTTGCTCTAGACTATGTTGGCTTTGTATTAGTAGGGGTATGCCTCTACTTGTTTTCTTGTACACTATTGTTATATTTATTATAAAAAAAATCCACTTCGCCTAGGGGAAAGGAAAAAAAAAAAAAAAAATAGAGGTAATACACCTTTTGAGATTGCTATCATAAAGAAAATCTAAATTAATAAGTCTGACACACCAAAATGGGGAAGAAATAGTGTAGTATGAGCATGTTCTAGATATTCATTATACATGGTATAAAACATTAACCAAACATTTCGGCATGCCAACAGATTTATCAATTTATATATTTGTATATCTTTTATAAGTGAAAGATTATTAAAATATCAATCTGAGCAAGCTAAAATTCAGAGCTCCCAGCATGATTCAAGAGGTTCTCCACCCCTGCATTTGGTGAAACAGATTTGGGATGAAAGATTTTTCCAAAAATTTAATAAACCCCTTTACTTTTCTGTCCCCAGTTTTCATAAACCGACTCAATAACAATAATGAAAATGATTCCTGTAATAATACTAAGATTACAAAAATGAAGTTAAAACTTTTATGGTATGATATTAGTTTCTCTTCAAATACAAAAAAAAAATAATAATAATGGCAAATTTATTAATCAAACTAAAAAAGCTCAGTATAGCTGAGCAAACAAATTATACATCAGTAGTGGAGTTTGTCATTTAAGGATTGTATTAAAAGAATTCGCTAAGTCACTAAACCAAACTAAGAAAAACTTATATTTAAGAGTTTTTTAATACCCAATTGAAGTCCTTCCCAAGGGTAATGCTAGGGGAAGACCAAAACTAGCATGGGTTGAGATAGTCAGGGAAGATATGGTAGCACATTGTCATGCCCCACCTATTTTGTTGTAGGTTCGCCACACAAGGGACACACAAGCATTGAGGACACTACTTGGCTTCTACATGGTACGAGAAGAGTGGAGTTCTAGAGTTTTCCATTAGATTGTGGAGTGTTAGAGATAATTGGAATATTATACAATGTTGGTGAATTGGTAGAACCTATTAGATTGTAGAATATTTTAGAGGAGTAGAGAGTTGTGTAGAGTGTAAATATGTAGGACAATTATGCAGAAGTATCTAGAGAGTAATGGGGAAGTCTATAAATGGGACCATGTGCTCTAACTGAGAACCATTATCATATCCTCACATAATGCATCTCAAGTATTTTATGTAAAAAAACATAAACCATTATCACAAAAAACTGGTCATTTACGGATTTATATAAACAAATGACACACACCTGTAAACATGGAAGGATGGCGGGTTTACACTGTTGTAAGAAATGAATGCACATCAAAACATACCTGAAAGAAATATGTTATTAGTTGAAAAAAATTCATTATAGGTAGGAAAAACAAACATACAAACTTCTCTAAATCAACTTAGCAAACTCACGCATAGCTAGATAGTGTTCCTCGGTAAGTCTCATTCACTGCTCTTGCTTTGGCCCAATGTTTCACAATAAATGCTAACTGTCGCAGCCGCTCATCTATTTGTGCATAATTTTGGAGGAGCTTTGTATTCACAACCGCCAATACATTGTTTATGCATATATCGCAAGATATTCCGGTCACGGGATCCATAAGCTTTACTATGGGTACCCTAGCACGAGTCAGCGCCTGTAGACAAAACTTAAATGATGAATCATAAAAAAAATATTACTTTTTAGAGAGTAACTATTGATATAGAATATCTGAAGAGATCAATAGAACTCCTAAAATTTCATCTCATTCATAATGATTTAATAGCCCTGTTAGACAACTTTATGGGCTCAACCAGATATTACAAGGGTTTTTGGTTTTGGTACTTCATAAGCTACAATTAGTATCTAATGAAACCACTTCGACAAGCAACCAAAAAGAAGAAGTGAATAAATAATCTTTTTTATTGAAATTTGTTTGATAATGTTCCACCAATTTAAGGGTATCATCTTATCATTTAAGTTGGTATGGTCATAATACACTAATTGTTGCATCTCTCCCTTTCTCTAATCATTCTTTTCTAAACTTGGGCAAAAATCAACTCCAACTTGATATGTTTGGTTTCAACAATCATTGTCACATACAAAAGTAAGATTTCCTACTATTATGAATAAAAAGAGTAACTTGATAAACAATGGAAATATGAGGAACAAAATGTTCAACCAGATCCAATTTGAATCAGGCTTATTTTTAGATATGAATAACACTTGTTGCTTTCAACAAATGGGGAGCCTGACGTGTCTGCCTAACACTCAAGCTCATCCATATTCCACACTTGTTTGGAAACTCGTAGAAGAGTACACTTTGTTTAGTTATTCAGTTAGTGAATGGCATTCTTTTTGCCATGCATCACATGCCTCATGTGGATCTAGCTTACAACGTCGAGTGTTCATTAACAAAGATGTCAAAAAGTTGAAAAAAGTGTTTTGTGCCAGACTTATTGTAGAAGTGCTTATTTTCCTTCTGTTGCCCTCCATTGTTCTTTTGTTTAGCACAACAGTCAAACACAAATAAAAGTGTGTTATGTTAAGAAGTAAAAATAATAATATTCATATACCAATAGACCACCTGTAATTGGGGAAGTTTCCATGTCCACACCCTTTGTCTGGGTCAAAAACATGACACCATATTTGTGCACAGCACATTGACCTATCTATGGCTGACTAAACATAATGTTTCCATTATGCTCTCCACAACCCACTTAATAAAAATTAAAGATGAAGGAAAAATCTATAAGAAGAAGAGCTTATGTGTGTTGAGACAGGGCCATAATGACAAAAAGGGAAATGAGCCATGGGAATGATAATTGTGCTGGTTGAGTTGGCGGAGATTTTGCAAGAAACAGTTGCCACAGCCATTATTTGGAGGAAGATATTTTCATCTTTGCACCAAAAGTTCAAGCTGATAAAGATTTCAGTGCTGAAATGTTGAGTGCACTACCCATGGTAAAGTAGGTAAGTTCATAATTTCAGCAAGAAGGCAAGGGCAATCTAATGTATTTCCTGTTTTTAACCACAATGTGAAAAGCACTGCCAGTAGTCAGTGCGATGACATAACACACTTGCAATAGTAAAATTATAGTAACTTAAGGTGACAACTTTCAGAATTTAATACACAGCACTAAATCGGAAGGGAAGATCATGAACCTGAACATTCTGAAGATTATCAGACTGCAGTGCATCTGCCAACTTCAACAAGACGTCAGACTTGTTAATATCTGCATCCTCAATTGCAAGGCAAACATCTATGTCACTTTTCGAAACCCCAAATGAGTTAGCACATGATCCATAAAGATACAACCGAGCTTCAGGCCACTCTTTGTTAACAAGTTTCTCCAACACTGTTAATAATTGTTTTTGCTTTGCCTTTTCTTCCTCGGGTGGTATTAAGGACTCATAAATTGCAAGAAAAGGAGCATTTAGCCTGTGGATGTCAGTACGACATTCAATGAGTCTTTTAAAGTTCCTCGTCCTCTGCCCAAGCATGCGCTGCCCTCTTGTATCTGATCTATAGTCCTAATCACAAATAGCAGAGGTAAATCGTAAGGCAAAAAATTTACACAGCACTTGCATGCACAAACATCCAACCCTTCAAGCACACAAACACACAAACTTTCTAAAGGAAAAAACACTTCCCATAAACTTCAGCTTTAGTAGCAATAGTGAAATAGTTTGTAACAGACACTCAAAAGCTTTTGATATTTTTTCCCCTTATTGGAGGAACCACAGTGTATTTCTAAGAAATTCAAAATTCTAAAACAACATTTGTTTTGTAAAAATCTAAAAACAAAAACTAAATTTTCATTTTTCCTAGAAGAAAACAACTTCTTACTAAGAGAAAGGAAAATTTAGAGTTGTAGCAATATATATAGTCATCTGATTAAATCAAACAACCAATTGTAGGGTGTGCATTACTTGAAAAGAGGCCACCACCCAGTTTTGATCCCCATTAGTCAAGGGTGCTAGGAAGATTACTGAATATTCATGTGTTAATAATCAGAATTAGTTTGAATATCCAAACCAAAAGTAGCCAAACTCAATCTCCATTCACTCTTATCCAGTTTTGTGACAATCAACCTTTATTATTAGACTCTTCCAAACTCCCTGGTAAATTACAACATTCTGGACAAGACAATTCTAACAAGTATAGTAACCGAATATTTTTTTTTGATACGAGTATAGTAACCAAATATGGACTCTCTTTTTTGGAAAAGAGAGAGAATAAATTATAACTAAATCTAATGTTAACCAGTTCAAAAAACTCTCAAGTGAAACTTAAAAAATAAAATTCCTGGAAAATAAGAAGCCAAAAATATGTACATGTCTTTTGAGAAGATATATTTGCAGCAAAAGAAAGACTCCCTCAATTCTTATAAAAAATAAAAACTAAAAATTTCTAACAAGAACATGGGGGAAAAAAAAAAACAAGAATACAAATTAGGACCCATACATTACATCAAAAACCAAAAATTATACCAGCCAGGAAAAGTAATACAGTCTACCGTTAGAGTGGCATTAGGGGAAGGAAAAGACCAAAAGTAACATAGGTTGAGATATTAAGAAAAGATATAACAGAATGTGATTAGCCTAGCAAGAACAGAATAACAAAACAGGAATCAACTTAACCAACCCAAATAGTCGTATTGAAATTCAATTAATTCATAATTGAAAACATTTATGAATTATGAATCACTTTATTTTTAGCTCGTTTATAACCACTTGAAAAATAAAAGTGTGGACAAAGCATTTACCTTGTCTCGAGAATTTTGGTGTTTCCTTTTACCATTTTTGTCATCTGATTCATCTTCCTGTACTAAGGAACCAATAAGTTGTTCACCGTAATCATCTGATTCAAGGCGACCCCGATCATCATCCCTCCTTGTCATGCCCTGACTCTGCCTCCCATACCCAGGTTTCTCCCCAGCTTCACCATGCAATTTCAACATTGATTCTTCAATATCGGACACAGAAACAGAATGAAGATTACTTCCTGCTGGAAGACCTGGGCCCAATCCGTACTCAGGTAACCTCCGTTCTCTCACATCCTTAATATTTGAAGTACCACTAGCATGATTCAGCTCACCAAGCTGACCCCTTTCCTTATTCACATTATGCTCAAAACTACTACTCCTATTACCAGATTCCCAATTCCCTACACCCTTAAGCTTGCTGGCGAAACCAGGTGGCGGTTGCCTCACTTCGGGTGCCATTGACCTATAATTCAAACCATGCTGTTGTTCATGATTCTGAAATTGATGCCCTTGTGGGTTTCGATTAAAATCAAGAGGATTTTGAAACTCAAACTCTAAACCATTCAATCGTTTATTCCTCGAACCCATTTCTCTCTCCTTCGAAATTAAACCCTCGATATTAGCTGAATTGACATTCCAAACATTATCATTGTTTCGAATTTGGCAAGGTAACGAACCAAAAATGAGGTTATGCTCCTGCTGATTAGCTACCATTGGTCTAGGGTTCATACCTGAAAACCCTAGCTTCCGGAGATCATCACCGAATACTTGTTGATTTAGCTGGAGAGGTTGCTGATGATGAGCGTTATTAAACCCGGGCGGAGGTGGAGAAGACCAATTAGGGTTAGGGTTAGGTTTAGGGTTAGGGTTTTGAGCAAGCCCTCTTAGGAAGAAGTTGTGAGGAGGAGGGTAGGGAAGGTCCTGACCGTTGGATTGATATGGCGGGAAGGGTAGGGAGGGGCCCACGGCTGCGACAGCGGGGTCATGGGTGAAAGTCGGGGGCGGAGGCGGAGGTGGAGATGGTGAAGCTCCGGTGGCCGTGGACGGTCTTGGTGGTGGCATTTGGGGTGGATTTCGTAGCAATTGAAGGAGAAAGTCGCCGCCGTTTCCCGGCGTCGACGGCGATGCTTCGCCACCACCTCCCTTCATGGTGGTGGAGGATTGAAAGATAAAACGGTGGGAGACTTAATACATGTACAGAGAGAGAAAAATTGAGAGTGATGAAGAGAGTAAGCTAGGAGGGACTGTAAACTAATGATAAACCTGGTTGATTACTTAGAATTGAAGATTTTTGTTCTTCATCTTTTTAGGTTCGCTTCATTATTAGCAATTGACTTTGAATAAACAAAGTACTAGTAAAGTACAAAACCATCAATATGCTTCCTTAAAATACTAATCCGTAAATGTTTTCACAAATTTTCTATACACATCATATTTTATCTAAATAGTTTTTTTATATAAGTAGTTTTACAAATTTATTATTATTAATTTTTTTTTTTTTAGTAATGCTTATTTTGTCTTTAAAGTATACCAATTGCTTAGCTTGTAGTTGTAAAAATAATTTTTAAAAATTTAAAAAATATAAAACTATCCTCATATAACAATTTTTTATAATTCTTTAAATTTTTAAAAACTGAATCAAGAGAAATTTTTATATTATTTTCTGTTTTTAATTTTTTTAACAAAAAACTATTTTTATAATTATAAATCAAGTAAATTTTTTTTAATTAAATTTAAAAAAAAAAAACAGTTCTCAAACCAATCAATCAAGTAGTTTTTTTATAGTTAATTTTCAAAAAAAAAAAAAAAAAATCATTATAGAAAATAAATAGTTAGTTTATTTAGGTTGTTTTGATTTATAATGACTTTTATTATTAATCTTGATGTTAAACTCAAAATGAGCTATAACAAATCAAATAAGCTCCAGATTGAAAATATTTTTAGGGGTAAAATCACATAACCCCTGTACTATCATTGATGTTGTCCGGTTAATGTAAGGGTGTGTTTGGATAGTATTAGTTATGAGAGAAAAGAAAAGAAAAGAAAGGATAGTATTAGTGAGAAAAGAAAAGAAAGGATAGTAATAATTTTTATTTGTGTTTGGATAGACAGGGGAGAAAAGAAAAGAAGTGATAGTTATTTTTGTTTGGATAAGATAGAGGAGAGAAAAGAAAAGAAAGGATAATAAATCTGTGTATTGATTTGTGGAGGCTAATTTTGGTATTATCAAAATACCACTAAAATCACTATCCTTTCTCTCACTATCTCTCCCTATCTTCTCAATTTTGAGGAGAAAGCAAATAAGAGATAAGGAGGGATAGCTATCCCTCCCTATCTCTCCTTATCCCTCCCTATCCCTCCACTTAAGTTACCCAAACACAAACTTACACTGTCCTCTCTTTTCTTTTCTCTCCCTATCCCTCCAAATCAACCCTACCAAACACAAAAGAGCTTCGACGCCAACCACTGAATCCCCTATTTGAAGCTGGAATTAACTTATAAACCTCTTCACAATTGCAACTGCTTCGAGGATGGCTTGATTCACTGTGAAGTGAGCGAATTTGTGGTATCAACAAGCGAGGTCACTGATAGCGACCATTAATGTCATCACCGAAGACGACCTCCTGTTGCCGTGGTGGCCATTGAATTTGGTTTGAGAGATACAGAATTCTTTTGTTTTGATATTTTCGGTTTCCAAATCAATCTTTATTGTTTCTAACACCTTCTTCGGCCGATCAAAAGCCGTTTCTCAAATTTCTTCTTTCAGCCATCAATAGTCAATCTCGGGGAATTGCGAGGTGGATTGTGTCGACCCGTTATCAGACCATACAAAAGGGACCTTTAGTAAAAGAGGGTGAAAAGAGGAAGAAGACCCAATTAAAAAGGGTATTTTTATAATTTTAAAATTATAATTATTAGTTTTTAATTTAATAGCTTGATAACTTGATAGTTTTTTTTTAGTTCAAAGGGGTGTTTAATTTTAGTAGAGGGGGTTATGTGATTTTATCTTTTAATTTTATTTGAATATTATGTATGTTTTTGGCTCCTCCATCATAACTCTAAATGATATTTCCCATGTTTAGATTCAAAATTTAGTAGAAATAAAATATTGAAGTTCTATTAACTTGATTTTTCAAAATAAATAAATAAAAAGAATAAGGAGGAGATAATCTTATGAAATATGAAGAAAGCATTGAATATTATATATAGTCCAAACTGAATCTTCATTAAACATCCTTAACTTTTTTTCGGTTAATGAATTCCAAATCGATAGATAAAAAATAAAAAATAATTAAAAAAATGGCTTATGATCTCAAAACAATTACTAATACTTTAACATGTTCAAAATGTTCACATGAGCCGACCAAATGATCAAGCTCCTTGATAACCACTAATATTTTCTACATTGCTAAACAATTAATTAATACTAATGGAAGATATTACATATCGTCAAATGAATTCTTTAACGAAGCTCAAAAGAGCAGAGGCTCGTCTCGAGTCTACCAAATCTATTCCATGAAATCCAATGTTATCGAACTGAGCTTCCACAGACACCCCTTGTAACACCAACATTTGAACGAAATCTTGTTGCCTATCAATCATGATATCATCGCCATAACCAATCACCAAACACCTTCCCAGAGATTTAATTTTCTCTCTACAAGGTTTATCCAACATAGGATTAGAATATCTATGGTCTCGGTCCGTCCCTGGTGGCAATGCTAGCTCCCACATGAGATCTAGAGCTGGCAAAGGCAAAATATCGTCCGTTGCATGTTGCAGCTCAGATTTCGTTCTATTTCTCCCACTAAACATGGGTTGGTTCATTATAAGCCCTCCAAACCTTAGAGGCTGTAGTTTGAGATCAAGAGCTCGTAATGCAGCATTGAATGCAATGTTAGCACCATTGCTAGTCCCATACAGGTAGCATCTTGAGAAGTCTCCATAGTCCCTTAGCCATTGCTCACCCTTTTGATCTATAGCTTGTTTCTTCAGCCATTGAATTGCGTCAACCGCGTCATCATACTGGGCCGGAAGCCGACTTTCAGGAGCGAGACGATACGATACAGATATGACGATAGCTGGGATCTCACTAGAGAACAAGTTGCAATTTTCATGGACCATGACAGCGTCAGTCTTGATATCGATCCATCCGCCACCGTGGAAGTAAATTACGACAGGAAGCCTCACCACGGATTTGTCATTCGAGGGTAGTTTGTTTGGACGAAAAATTCTGAGCCAGGTTTTCTTGTTAGCATCAAGAACGATGTCCTTGCTAACGACAGCTTGGCCTGGAGCCTGCTCATCACTAGTTGCTGGCAGCGTCGGAATGTTAAGAAGGCGAGTGAGCGAGCCATCTGAGTTGAGGATGACGTGGAGGTGTTCATAGGCATCAAATTTTGCCATTGTTAATATGGATGATCGATCAATGTTGGGAATTGAAGAAAATGAGCGATGAAATAGTTCTCAATTTAGGGTTTTGGGAGTGCTGTATTTTCATGCAGCCATGCACACGTCCATGTTAAGAAGTTTTTGCCATGTTCCAAGTCAATTGCAATATACTAGTACTTAACGCAATGGGCTACCCTTGACCATCGGGTTTGCAAAGTTTGAGACCATACATGTTTTTAAGTTTACTCTTCATTCAAAATTAAAGGTCCTCCTCATCCGAAGGAGTTGTGGTTTTACCGAAATGTGGTAGATTTGATGGGCAGTTTATTAGCTTATATTGTTATTTGTTGCACCATTGGTTAGGGTCCAACTCCAAAAGAGGACTAAACTTCAACATAAAGCATACCACGCATTGTAGGAAGTCTAGAGAAAAGGAAAAATATCACCAAGTCTAACTAGGCTAGGGGTGCAATTTGGGTGAATCAATATGTGGACAACTCTTTTGTTACTTGGAATCTTAATTTAAAAATGGAGGCAAAGAAGTGAAATATTATTTGATAAAATAATAACAAAGAAAAATTTTATACCATCGTTATTAGACCACCATATAGTATGGACATGAGTACGTGGTGACCCTAAAAAGAAACAAGAACAACGTTTTCATGTAACGAAAAAGAGAATGTTAAGATGGGTGAGTGAAATGATCAGAAGAGATATGATTATTAATGAAAGTGTGAGAGAGAAATTAGTGGTTTGGACTTTAATTGGACACTTGCCTTAAAGACTTAGTGATTCCCAAAAGAGAATGTTAAGGTGGGATGAGTGGAATGATTAGAAGAGATATGATCACTAATGAAACTATGAGAAATTAACTGTACACTTGCATAAAAGATTTAGTGATGTGCTTGTATACGAGAAACAGCAGTTGTAATAGGAGATAATAAACAAAGAGGATCACCAAAATTAAAATGTAATAAAAATATTAAAAATTACTTTAAAAAATTATAAATGATAGGTGAAATGGACATAAAAAATATAAAAAATAGAGAAAGCATTGATATGGCCAATTCTATTATTCATATATGCAACTTATATTATTATTAGTAATATTAACATGATCTAAATCGGAGCTCATCAAAATCATTAAGATTTGAACAAAAAAACTTATATTGTATTTGTTTGACCTTACACAATTAAGTTTGTCTCAATAGCAAATTACATTTATCATTTAACTATTTTGGGTTTTTTAAGAATCAAATTCATATATGACTCGCCCCTTAAGACCTTTTAAATACTCAATCATCCCTGCAGATTATGTGAGTAATACGTTCAAAATGGAGAAAGGTACATGTTAACACAAATAAAGGGACATAAAATATACTTGTATTCCATAATTATGTTGCCAACACAAATAAAGGTACATCAAATTAATACATAAAAATACTTATATATATATATATATATATATGTGTGTGTATATGTATATTAAATGGGATGTTGCATTAACATTCATTTTGATTGTAGCCGTCCATTCATATAAAACCATTATTTGACTAAACCACATGTCCACTGCAGTTTGCAAAAGTTACATTGTTGACTTTGGAGCAACAACATAACTCTCACATGCAGAGTGAACAAAATTCTGGACTTCGTCATATAAAGCTTGAGCTTTGTTTGGATCAAAGAGCTCCACAGCATGGAAGCCTGAATCAACAAACTTGGTAACCACGTGCACCCCACGTGCCTCCAGCATCTTGGCAAACTCCCTCTGCCTGTCAACCAGTGGGTCCCCACCATATCCCCTAACCAAACACCTCGGTAACCGTCCGATCTTCTCACTCTGGGACCCACCAACCATCGGATTACAATACTCGTGATCCCGATCCGCATCCTTCGGCAATGCAAGTGACCACATCAGCTCATTCGCTGCCAGTGGCACGATCTTATCGTTTACCAATCTGATCTCCGATTCCGTCCTCTGGACCCCACCAAAGTAGGGCTGATTGAATATCAGCCCCGCGATCTTCACCGGCGAGAGATCCGCATCCAACCCGCGCAGACCTGCATTGTACGCTATATTTCCCCCCGAACTACTCCCCATCAGAAAACACTGGGAGAAATCAGCTAACTCGCTCAACCAATCATCACAGCCGTTGATTCCCAACGCCTGTGATCTGACCCACATGATGGCGTCCATGGCGTCGTCATACGCCGCCGGAAGACGGTGTTCGGGAGCGAGACGGTATTCAACGGACAGGATTAAAGCTGGGAGGAGATTCGCCATGCGACCGCATGATTCGTGAAAAGGTTGAGAAGTTGCGGAGAAGAGTATGAACCCACCTCCGTGGAAGTAAAAAATGAGTGGGAGCTTAGTGTTCGGAGGGTGGTGGTGGGGCCGGAAGAGGCGGAGGAAGGTGCCGGTGGTGGTGTTGATGGGTAGGTCTTTAGAGAGAGAGTCATTGGGGGAGGTGATTTCTGGTGTTGCGGGTGAAGTGGGAATTGGGGCGACTCTAGTGAGAGAGCCATCTGGGTTCGGGACGATTTTGAGGAACTTGTAGGGATCAAAATTGGAGGGTGTTGCAGTGGAGTTCTGTTGGTCAGCCATGGCGATTTGTCTAGAGAGAGAGAGAGAGGTGTAGTGTAGAGAGAGAGAGGACTTCAACCACAAGTCTACATGAAAGTTGTGTGGTGAGGAGTGGCGTGCGTGCTTCATTATTATATGTAAATGGAGCGTGAACCTAGTTAACTTTGGTGTCCTTAAACTTTCTGTTATTGCTAATTTATTATTATTATTTTTTCACAATTATCCAGCTATATACTTATATTATTAAAATTACACAGTTTCATATCCATCTTATTCCAAACATACTAGCAGAATTAAAATTTGGGAGGTGATTATCTAATTAGGTCAAAAAAAGAATAAACACTCAGCTTACTAAATTATTATTAGAATTTTAAATTTATATTAAATATTAAAGTCAATTTTGTTATTTTTCTTAATTTAGTCAACTTGATAACTTTTTTTTAGTTTGGGTGATTTTAAACATTTTACTGATTTTATGCACAATTTTAATAGTATAAGAGGATTTTGTAATTTTAATTCCATAAAAAATATAGGTAATAGGTTAAAACTTGACCCATGGTGACTCTTTTTTGGGTAAAGTAATTCAATCTTTATTTCATTGCACCAAAATAATTATGGTAGGTGGTTTATTGTAGCTGCTCATAATTTTGGTAGCTGCATAAGATTTTTGGCAATGCCCTTCGCATGTACAGCTACAACTATATAATCAATGGTGTGTAACAATTTTATCTGCCAAAATGAAAAACCTGTGATCAAGAACACACACTCATCATATAGAGAAGATTTGGGGACAAACAAAAAAGGTGGGCTTAGATAATAATTGCAGCTATAAAATGGTCCATAACGTAATACACAACCTTTCTTTAAAGATTTCTTTAGCTATAAAATAAAATGGAATTTTTTTTTTTTTGGAATTTTTATATATATATTTTTTTGGAATTTAAAATAAAGTGGAATTGCTAAAGCATGAAGATATACAAAAGAATAAATTTTTATAACAGGGGTAATATGCAAAAATATTAAAACTCAAGACCCTTTCTTGATATTATAATATTATAGTTCACAGTCATTTCTTACTGCTGAAAATCATTCAAATGAGGCATTCCATTGCATTCATTTCGACTACACCTACTCCTTTTATTGCCTGCGTGCAGCCTGAATTGCAGTTGAGCATTTATGAAACTGGCGGTGGGTAGATTTTTTGAAGGTCTGTTTGTTTTCCTGGAAAATCATAAGCCAGAAAATAGCAATGTACCCAAACAAGTGAGATTTTATTTGGTCCTTACCACATTATTTTAATACCGTTTTCTCAATTTCTGAAATATAAACCTTTTTTTTTTTTTTTTTTGGGATACTTGCGGACAATGCCGGATACTTAGACTAACACTTTCTTGACATTTCAAATCTATCCTAATAGACTTGAAAATAATATAAACACGTTCTAAGGTGTTCAAATTTTTTCTTTTAGAAAAATTTGAATTATACATATCATCACAAGTGAAGTATAAAATGATATTTGTTTATTTAAAACAAAAACACTACTATGACAAAGTAATAGAATAATGGTATACATGATATAAAAATCATTACAATAATGACATAATTTTATTATTCAATAGATATATATATTTTTAAAAATCATATGTATATATAACCATTGTCCATGCCGTGTACCTTTGTCCTACTTAATAAAAATTTGGCACGTCCTATTTTTTAAAAATTTGGCATGTCAGACATATCCGTGTCGTATTGTTTCAGTGTTCATGCAACATGGTAACTTACATTTACACAAATCTAGTTTATAATCACGGAATTTATCCAAATTAGAAATGTTCTTCAAGATCAAGATAATATTTTTAAGCAGCAAACTAATAAGCCTCTGATTTTTTAACCAAAATAATAAAAATAAAAAGGAAAAAACCTCTAGCTTTTGCAGACCATGAGAACACAAAGAAAGCTTATGGATTCAGTAGAACAATATAGAGCCTCTCAATTTCATATGATAAACTGTGACAAATCTTCTCAATTTGAGCTTACTTCAAATAGCACCAAGCTCTGATGAATCAACTAAAAAACAGGCAACTTTTTAAGTTCTGCTGAATCAACTAAGATAAGAAACAAACATCAATGCCCCAACCTAAAGCTCACGAAATTGATTCTGAAGTGATATTGAGATTTGAGACTTATATTTCCCACAAGAGCTGTCACACTCCTGTGTAGAATCACATTTTTTTTCCAGTAAAAGTGAAAAGCATGAGGCATCTGTATCACATTCCATATTTGAGGACCGCAATGATATAGTTTATATATAATTTGCATATTGTAGAGCTCATCACAAAATTAGCTAGTTAGATTCTCTAAACCTGCACTTGCTGCTTCTCTTTCCTCCACTGTAAAGTGTAAACACAAAAGAAAATGGCTTCTACCTTAAGCATCTTTCCTCAAAATGACACCTTTGTTCAAGACCGTGCAAAATGTTAAACATCAAAGTTCTGCTAAAAACATTGCAATCTGTAAGTAGATTACACATCGACTCCATGAGACAGTAATACACTTCAACACGCTATATTCTAAGAAACAATGTGGGTAAAACGATGAGCAATGGATGAGTGTTTTCTGTATCCTACTGAGCGTCTCGAATCATATTCTAACATAGCAGCACAATCAACATATGCAATAGTACTACTCAAATCTATGTTCCGCCATAGAAAGCCCAATAGGATGCTATGAAATTATGAAGACCTTTAACAATCTACAATGGCAAGTTGTAAAGGCGAGCTTGCACTTGCAAGTTGTCCAATAACATCCAGATTCTTTCGTGCTTCTTGGAATCCTATCCTTTATATGGTTTCTAGCCATCATACTGATACCAAGTATCTCAATACTTTTTTTTCTTTTTTATGCATATATAAGAATCTATAAGATGTCAAGTGGTGCCCATTTTTTCTCCCATTTGGTTTCCCAACTTTACTTTGTTTTGCTCTCTCCAGCATGCATTTGTGTGTGTGTGTGTCTGTATAAACACTTCCAATATGTCTCTATAATCATTTCACAAAAGAAAGGGATTGGGACACAGCTCAGTTCTTTTTTCACTGAAATTAAGATTATTCACTTTAGCCTCAAATCAACTTTTCTACTTTTGAAAGTTAGCTGACAATGAAAAAGAAAATATTTTCTGGGGCCCAAAAAGTTCCAAGGCCATGAAAAGCAAGCTCATTCAAGGCACTAAGTATATCTGTTGATTAAGCTGGCCTCACCGCTTAAAAAGCAAAAGCAAATGTCGCAGATTTATACCATTACCATTATGTATACGACTTAAAATTCAATTATTTGTGGGAGCACTGGACAACTTAGTTTGTGCCTAAATTATGACACCAAAAAGGTCAACTTACATGCCAACGGTCAAGAAACCCAATGATATATATATATATATATATATATATATATATATATTTCATTTTTTCTACAACCACCACCACCAAGCATTTTTCCAACTATTTGGGATCCGTAACATGAATCATATGTTTCCATTCCGCTGTATTTAAGGTCATAGCCTTAGTGAATCCACATGCTAAATAAAAACGCCGAAAACAAAATGTGCTAAAAAGTGCACTATACTGTTCATGAAATTAGAGTCAAATTCTGACAAACTCACAGGGATTTTTTTCAGGACTTGAAAGGATAATTGCATGGCGGTGATGGGGAGAATTCAAATGGCAGGTGGGGTGGCTCAGCCTCGCCCGAGAGCATACTAACAATTTCTTTCATAGTAGGCCGTTTGCTGGGTGATCTTTGCAGACATTGGAGTGCAATTGTGATGCAGAGTAGTGCTTGTTCTCGATCCAATGACTGAATAGAAGGGTCAACAAGATCCAAGAGCTTCCCATTGTGGGCAAGCTGCCGTGCCCACGAAACAAGATTTGCCCTCTCGAATTCTGACATTGGAGAGGCCAGAACTTGGAGTGGCCTCCTCCCCGAAACCAGAACCAGCAACAGAACACCAAAGCTATACACATCACATTTCTCAGATAGCTGCCCACAACCACCATACTCAGGGGCAATGTAACAAACAGTTCCTCTCATACTAGGTGTGCTACTAATACCTCCACTCTTGGGGATATCTCCACTAGTCCAATCTTGGCTATTTCTTCTGCCAATTCGAAACTCTCCGCTTAAACCATCCAACCACCAATCAATGCTACTGCTCCTCCTCTTTCTCTTTCTCTCTGGCGCCAAATCCTCATCCCTCTGCCACCACAATTCTTTGCCACTACGCTCACTACCTGATTGAAGCCCTCTTTTCTTCTTCTTCTTCTTTGTCAGTTCCTCACAAAATTCCTCCTTCCACCATTCCCTCGGTTTTCTATTCTTCTTCTTCTCCTTCCGAATTCTTCCCTCATCCAACGAAGCCCACCATTCCAACTTCTTCCGATTCTTCTTTTGCTCCATTTTCATACTCATTGTCTTCGTACCATCTTCCACCAAGCTAGGCATTCCAATCCATTCACTCTTGGGCCTCTCTTTTTTTATCTCACTCCTAATCCACTCCATGACATAGTCCTTCACTCTCCCGGACTCCGACCCTCCACAGCCATTGTCCTGTTTCCACCACCAATCCCTCCCAGAACCACTCTTCTTCCTCCCGATAAGCCTCCTATTACCACTATCAACACTAACCCTGTCCAAACAACCCTCTGAAACACTAGTCTTGTCGAAACCCTCTGACGGCGATGCATCCACCGCACTCATCTCCGGCGACACTGCTCCATCTGCATCCATTACCCCAATACAACTCTCCGGAGACAGATCCACATTCACAACTACTTCCTCTGTAGTCATCAAACTCATCATACTCTCAGTCTCCTCAAGTATTGACCCATTATCTTCACCAATCTCCATTCCCTCTCTCTTCTTGCTCTCCACCAAGCAGCTGTCAACAGTTTCATCTCCGGTGAGCACCCGAGCCAACCCAAAATCGGCGATCTTCGGATTGAAATGTGCATCTAATAGAATATTCGAGGGCTTAACATCTCCATGAATGATTGGTGGATCACATGAGTGGTGAAGATATTGAATTCCTCTGGCAATGTTGTTGGCGATTGTGAATCTCTTCTTCCAATCCATGAGCTCCGGACACTTCCGATGCAACAATGCCTCTTGTAGACTACCATTCGGCATGTACTCGTAGACTAGCATCAGTCTCCGCCGACTGCGACTGCGCTGGTCGGAGGAGAAGCCGAGGATCGACACGACGTGGTCGCAGCTCGCCGTGTCGATCCTGGACGCGAGCGTGAGCTCATTGTGGAACTCTCGCTCGCCTTGGAGAGAGCCGGAGGCGTCCATGAGCTTGACAGCGATCTCCTTCCCGGACGGGAGGGTTCCTCTGTACACAGACCCGAACCCTCCCTGTCCGAGGCGGTTGGCGGAGGAGAACGACGAGGTCGCGCGACGGAGGAGGGAGTAAGGAAAACGGTGCGGCGGCGGTTTCAGATCCGCCGGAGCTGTGCGCTTCCGCGACAGCCTCCGGTAAAACACTGCAAGAAAAATGAGACAGGTTAGGGTTAGGATTCCGGCGACGAAGACTGGGATGAGGTTGGAGTGGTGGTGGCGGTGGTGGTTGGGTGGATCCGGCGGTGGTGGTGTCGCCGGGAAATCTGGGAGTGGTGTTGTGAAACGGGAGGGCATGGTTGTAATAAAATGGAAAAAGATGGGGGGCAAATGTTAGAAATGCATTTGCAGAGAAGAGAGAATATGGAAGGAAAGAGACTAGTTGGAGAAGGAAAACCCAGTGTTTGCTCTGCTTATCCTCTCGTCGTCTTCTTCTTCTTCTTCTTCTTCTCTCTCTAAGCTGCACAACACAACAGAAAGTGATACTCACGAGACTGTCTTATTATTATATTTCCTAATGGGGTTATGTACACACTAGTACTAGACTATTGATGGTATAACAATTATAGCGATTGTTTTGAGGGTAACGTGCATTAAACCCATTGAACTATCGGTCATTTGTAAAAAATTTATCTGGATTATAAAAAAATTTCCTGAACTATAATTTTGTTATAATTTACCTCTTTAAACTATTGGTCATTTGCAAGAAATCCCCCTAAACTATAAAAAAAAACCTCCTGAACTTTGATTTTGTCGCAATTTACCCCCTGAACTATAATTTTGTTGCAATTTACCCCATGACATCAGCTTCCGGCACCAAAAATTTTGAAAGACTAGTTTACCCTTATAACACGCCGCATTGTTTTAACTTATGCACTTCTTACATTTTTTTTCTGTCAAAAGATATTTTTCACCCAACACAACCCAAAACAGAGAGCTAGAGAGAGAGAGAGAAGAGACCAAAGAAATCCGAGGTCGGCGGGATGGCTTGGTCTTGGACTGTGGAGGCGACGGCGAGCTCAAAGGGGCTCGGCGGTGAACTGTGGACGACTGTGTGCTCAAAACACAGACGGCGGTGTGCTCGGCTATGGAGATGGCGAAATGGGCCGACGAGCTTGGAATTGACGGTGGAATGGACCGGCGAGCAAGGTGAGCTGAACGGCGGGCAAGGCAGTGACGGCGATGGGCTGACGCAACGGTGCAGAGAAGTGCAATATATATGGTCGACGGATCTGGCGGGTGGTGCAACGGCTATGATAGAACTATGACAGGAGACCCACCGATCTCAGCAACAGATTTCTTGGCTTATCCAAACACTCCTCAGACAACATCTACCACTCCGATCCCAGCAACAGATTTCTTAGCTTATCCAAACACTCCTCAGACAACATCTACCACTCCGATCCCAGCCACAAATTCCTCTGCTTTATCGTCCCTTTCAGTCAATCAATTCGCGCAGATGGGGTAAATTGTAAAAAAATATATAGTTCAGGGGGGTTTCTTGCACATATCCCAATAGTTCAGGGTTTTTTTTTGCAACTTTTATAGTTCAGGGGAGTTTCTTACACATACACCAATAGTTCAGGGGGGTTTTTTGCAACTTTTATAGTTCAGGAGGATTTCTTACACATACCCTAATAATTCAGGGGGATTTAATGCACTTTACCCTTGTTTTGAAGATGACCAATAAAAAGTTCTTGGCAACAACGACTATATATATATATATATATATATAATTGAATGTGCATATTATTTGACTTGACTAATAAATTCTTCTTGATTATAAGTTTTCATAAAATAATTTTTTTAAATTATTCATTAAGTAAAATTTTATACAATTTTTTTTACTTTAATTTTTCAAAAAAATAAAAAATTATTCTTAAAAAACAGACTAGAGAAACTTTAGAGAGAGTGCTAGCTATACTCCTCCACTATACATTGAATTGATAATAATTATTGATACTTCTTATAATAATTATTAATAAGAATTTAATTTTAGTGTCTCAAAAAGTATCAAGTTTAAAGTTATGTGATTAGAAAAATATCATCTTTATTACCGAATATCTTTTATAAACAACTCAAAGAATATGTAATTTCTTTTAATTTTAATTTTTTTTTAAGGAAATCTCTAAAGAAAACTACACATTATTCCTTCTTCTCCACTACATATTGGAATAGCACAAAAAAATCGTTTAACTATTGTAACATTAATCATCCAAGGACTACGAAATGAAGTAGTGCTATGACAAACAAAATTCTCCAAATAATATAGAGTTATAATTGCTCTGAATGGATTGAGGTCATTCAATTTCATCAAGACACTCATAATATCCATTCATGATGGATTAACAAATTAATGTTATCTTACGCTGTTCCCAGTACTACCTAGTAGTTATATAAAAAACCCATAGAGTGTTTGTTTAAAAGGAGACAAATACTATATTTTGGCTCATGGCAACTAATATATCGGGGACGGAAGGCTCAGCGGAGGCGTGTGCCCCTGGTCCTCCCAATAAAATATATATAATTTTTTTATATTTATTTTTTTTTAAGTATGTACGAAAATTATATATAATGCCCTTAAATTTTTTAATTTCTAAAATTATAACTTTTTTCTTCTTTTATTCCTTAAAATTTCAATTCTTGAAAAAAAAAAATTTAATTTCTCTTTTTGAATCAGACTCTAATTGTTTTTCTTTTAAATTTATTTCAATTTTCTTTCTTTTCTTTTTTCTTCTTAAATTTTTTTTTATTTTTTATTTTTTAACTGTGCCCTTTTGAATTGAAATCATGTGGAACTTTTATTAGAGGTTAATTACTTGCTAGGCATACCTTTTAGCCCACCATATCAAGCATACCTTATCTAATTTTTCATTATTAATATTTGTCATTCACTCATTTGACTTTACCATTTGACTCTTCTCGAAACTCGGTTATTAATTGTTTTGCGTATTAACATCATTGAAGGCGTGTCTATTTAAAGCAGTGTCAATTATTTAAAGCGGTGTCAATTATTTTTCAGAATATACATCAACGATATTTAAATCGTCATTCAAAAAAAAAATTCCCCTCAGTCACATTTCTATAAAGTAAATTAAAAGATAAAAAAGTCCAGTTTTCACTTTCCACATTCTTTTACTTCACATCATACTGCTTTCCCGCACAAACCAAGCATGTAGTAAGAGTTAATTTCCTATGATTGTCTTTCCTTCTTACTTTATGCCAAACTTCATAACATTTGAGAATCTCCACAGTAAAATCTTAATGATTTTATAAAACCATTATTGATTCCAGCGCTTTGAAATGAGACAGCTGTCCTTATCCATATTATTTTAATTGTCCATGTTGAACACCGAACAATTGAAATAACAAAAATAATAGATCGTCGAGTGTAATAGTCCTCCATCCAAAATATTGGGAAAAAAAGTAGGAACATAGAAGCCATACTTTGTTTCATGATGATACAGAAGAGAAACAAATCTTGAGAACTACCATTTTTGAATAAATTTCCAAACTGAAATACTGAAAAATATGAGCAATTTAGTTACTTGTTATCTCAATCGAATTGTACAGCCTAAAATACAATTTCTAATTCAAACAATTCATCAATAGACATGTGTTAACACTAGAGTGGCTTCGCACCACCATTTTCTTGAACAGAATTCACTGGAGTTGAAGTGCCACTCTTCTTGCTGGACTGCCCGGTGATGCTCCTGCCCATGAACTTTCCTGCTTTGCTCAGGCCACTGCCGACAGCGCCAAAGCCACTCCCGACCATCCCGACTCCGGCACCAATGCCACTTCCCACCAGCCCAGCGCCCGCAGTGATACCAGTACCTACCAACCCCACCCCAGAACCAACAGCATCCATCGTACTCCCTATAACTCCTGCCTCTTTCAGTTTCTTTCTCTCTTCTAGGATCCTCTTCTCTGCTTCCAGAGCTTCAAGTTGTTCTTCCTTGTTAAATTCATGATACAGCACCTGAAATTCCGTTTTCCTAGTTAAGCAACAAGAAGTGCATGCTTTCTTGAGATGCACAATATCAAATACAGAAGCGAAGCAATGCCATGAAATTTTAGCACAAGTTTTTCAGCATATAAAAAGCAAGGAGACCCTATGTCATCAAGCAAATAAGATAAAGGAAAGAACAATTGTTGATAAAAAGATACAGGAAAGACCATACTGCACCTTAAGTGTAACAGTTCCTCTATCCTTCTTATCTTTTATTTTAAGCATGTCAAATGACGGTAGCAGTCTTAGTTCAACCTCTTTTAGTTTTTCAGCTTCCAGCTCAATCAAAGGTAATTTCACCATTCCAAGTCGCTTGTCTCCCCCAATGTCTTCATCAAAAACCTGTTTGAAAGATCCGTGAACATGCGCGTATCAGGGTAAAAACAATTAGAACCTTTTGGCAGTTTCAAGGATCAAATGACAATTTCAGTTAAAAACATGAGCAGCTTTTTGAAACTAGTAAGACATGGCCAATGTTTATCTGTGACTCTGCAATACAGAAAATGTTAAAATATCTTGGCCTAAGCCACAAAAAAGAGGGAGAAGGCAAAAAAGAAAAAAATGCAAGCCTCACCACAAGTTTTGAAGAATCAAACAATTTTATCAACACAAATGTAAAACGGTGATAGACAACTGTTTTAGCTCCCCAAGAATATTACCTACATAATTTATGAAAGTGCGGGTCACTCTGTCATTGCAAAAGCTCAGGCTTTAGGCCCAACCATGAGGTTTGACCATGAGAACAGCCCACTCCATGAAAATAATGCTAAAGCTTAGGACTATACCAAGATTATCCATTCCAAAACCCACTGGCGGCACTCACTATGGATAATGGCTTTTACCATACAGAGAATCTATAGCCTGAATGCCATAAATATTTCAACAACTGAAGAAAAAATAGAGAGAGAGAGAGAGAGATTATGTAATCAGAACCTCAAACCATGGCAAGGATTTACAAGGTATGAAAATATTGCAAGGAAGGATACAGAAAACCAACAGTTACAGCTTGTGGGACAGAACTGTAGTCAAAGAAAACATCCCAAAAATAATAAGGATACAGCAAAGGATATTACAAATTATTTTAAAGAACTTCTCTTCCGGGACTTTCACTATAGCAAGGTAATTTTTTAATGATAAGTCAAAATAAACCATATTCAGCAACCTTGCTCATTAATGCTGTGCAACTATCTAAACATTCGAGTCTAAGTCATTGCCACAAAGATCCAAGTCCTGGCTCCAAACCACAAAAGTGCTTTCCATGACATCAGAAACTCTTATCAAAGTTCTTATTTTCAGTGTTAAATTTTCACTACTTAACCCAGCCAAAGTTCTAACCTGTGTGATTGCTCCCACCATCCTTCAGCTCCCCTCAGTTCACAGCAATAAAGTTCTGAGAGGCCTACCTTAGCCAAGGAAGGATTATCAAGTGTAGGTACTTGAATATCATTACGTACAAAAGCCATCATATCTAACTTGCTCTCTGAAATGCAATTCCTATAAGGTTTAATTAATTTATTTTTATATTCGTCCCTTTTTTCACTACTTAAATTTAGCACAATATCAACTACAGAAAATGTAGACAAATAAAAAACACCTGAGACGGAGACACTGAGGCTGTTTTACTTGACAATCAATAGTGAGGCACCATACTTAGAATTGGCAATAGGGAGAATAGAGAGTGTCCAAGCAAAAGAGGAAGGGTATAGTAGAAGAAAACCTCTATAATAAGCGACTGTGTCTCCTTGTCTTCTGCAATCAATTCAAATGTTTGATCCCAAACAGGATTCAGGTTGTTATCAACAACTTTTGTTTTGACCTTGAATAATGGTCGGATGTACACAACCACATAAGGATCAGATTTCCCAATCATTTCCATATTCTTCAGATCATTTGCCTTCACTACTGTTACTGTAAGATTGCCCTGTGGTTTAAGCTCTAATTCACTGCGTGACAGACAAAAAGAAGAGATAGTTAGCTCCATATTCCCATCATGGTGCTGTGAATCACTCCCACGTAAAGAGAATAAAAAAAGTGTTGCTAAAGGAAGGAAGAGAGGGTTCAATTGCTTTTAATACATTTTTGTACATTTTTGCATTTTTTGCAATATTCACTAAATTATTGCTTTAGTTCACTAAATTAGTGCATCGTGGGAGTTATCATGAATGGGAGTGATCGAGTGTATCATGCATGCAGCCACCACATTCTAGTTATATAAATTAAGACTACTAGTAAATATTACTTTAATTCAATCATTTTTAAGGATAAACAAAGACTACAAATTGAATAAGAGAATTAGTGTGATCCAATTAGCATCACATTGAGCTTCATAGTCAATATACCAGATTTTGCTGCTTAGATGAAGTTCCCTTATTTACCAATTTTCTGTTGGAGTAACCACATGGGATTGAAAGAAGAAAACACATATAGTTATATATCAATTTTGTATAATCACATTACTCAACTGATGATGTAAAATAAAAGGAATAATCAGAAACAAGAATCGTCAGGAAACAACAGTTCTTGAATCAAAATAAAGAACACAAATACCTTGTATCAATAGGTCCACCGATTGGAACGACAATCCTGTGGGGCCATTGGAGCATATCTGTAATGATTGAATTTACAGTATCCTAACCAAAGTAACAAAATGAAAACAAATGAGTTTAAGCACCAATAACTAACAGTTCACACAAATAATGACGGTACAGCATTTTGATACCCTAATCAAAACTTACATCAATCATATCTGATATTCCAGGAATGGCAGTTAAACTTCCACCAACAGCCTTCAGAGTATAATCAATTCTAGGCTTCGGCTGATTAAACACAAGAGAATTAGTCCTTTCAATAGTAAATGTGAGTAATAGAAATGCTAACAATTACAATGTAGCTTTGTTTGCTCACTGTATAACAGAGTGCCATCTCACTTCTAATCCGAGATTTACATTCATAAACTTAATATTTGCAAGTTTTAACATCATACTCAATAACACCAACAAGTTACTTGATTATCAGGATAAAGATCAAAATGATAACTTCATTCAGCAAGGAAAAACTTCAAAAGATTTTACTGAAACCATAAAAATGGTCATTTAGCATATATTAAGTGGGAAAAAATCGTAAATCGGTTCTATATCTGAAGTACATTTTTAGAAGGATAATAAATTAGTCAATCATAGCCAAACAACAATCCTATCGCAAAATAAATCCACAAACTTTAGCCTCCATTTGATTGAAGGATTTGAAATAGGTGGATTTAGGTTCTGTTAGGAATTAGAGTCTTTTTTTGGTAAGTAATTATAAATTAGAGTCTTGCGTTGGCGATTTCCTACTGAAGTCTGAAGTGGTAAAATAGTTGTATATTTGAATTTTGAAGTAATATGTTTATGTTTTGTGATAAAACAAATGCTATCTATGACTAAACATATTCCTTTTTCTGTTGCATATGTTCATCTCAATTCCCTCCATTACCAAGATAACACTGTTTAGTGTGCTCATGTGTTTTACAAGATAAACTCCATTGAATCTAAATCTAATGGAAGAAAAGTAAATTAACTACGAAACAACTTAACTCCAAAGATCATTTGAATACTTCTTTCCATATCATTCGCTTGTCTTGTGTATTGTCATCTTAGTTCAGTTATGATATTTAACAACTTAAAGTATTCACATATGCATTAGACTGAGAGTAAAATAAAACAAATACAGTATATATATATATATATATATATATATGTGGGTTTAGTGCAAAAAAAACCCTCACTATATATATTGTTCAATTAAACAAAAGAATGAACATTAATTATCTTAAGCAGCCACACCCTGTAACGTCTCCAAGGTATTCATACTTAGGTATAATAGTTTTGTCAATATGCCTGCCAATTGATTTTCAGTGTGAACTTGTTAACTTTTTCTAAGTTTATTATATTTTGTTCCACACAGTTGACAATAAATTGATGTTATAGACAATAAAATAGTATCAGTGAGTTTACAGAAGAGAAGTGTCGATGCATATCCAACTTTGAAAAGGACTAAAATCACAATAATTATAGAATTTTTTTTTAGAAAGAGCTGGTTGCCCATTAATACGAAATTCGTCAAGGTTTGGAGAAAAAAAAAAAACAGACACAGAGAGATTCAAAAGAGCTAGTTGAAAATTTTACTTGAATTTCTTTCACACGATGATTTGGTCTGAATTCATATTTAGGTATCTTGATAACTATGATAATTTAGTAAAATGAACATTGTCGAGACTCAAATCACTTTAGTTTAAGTTGATTATTAAGTTTACTTTGACATACAAGGAAACAAAATTTAAGATATTTGTAATCGTTAAAAAGTGAATTAAACTTGTCTTGACTTTTATTTTTTAATAAACTTAATTACTACGACTCATATTTTGTAAAGTCGTGTGTTTTTATAAAAGTGTGGTTACGTTATTTGATAACAATAAAGTTTTCTTGTGCATGATAACTAAGTTTGTCTATATTTTTTATATGAAAATATGCTCTAAACAGGTAGACATATGTTTAAGCCAATAGACATATGTTAGAAAGAGCAGGTTGCCCATTAGCGTGAGAGCTGTCAAGATATGGAGAAATCAACCGATTGGATTTCTGAGCAAAAGAATGAACAACTATTGGAGAAGCGCATTTGTGAGGAGCAAGTTAGTTGACGAGCAAACGGACGGTCTGGAGACATGAGTGGAAAGTTTAGCATCAGTCTAAGTCAATAGATAACTAACGGTTCTAGGGTTTGGGAACTGTAAACCTAGTTGTAAAAAATTTCTCATACGGTGGATTGTTTCTAACTAAGCTATGTCCCGTAAAAATTTGGTGTCTCTGCTCTACTTTCCTTTTTATTTGTGCATTATTGTGGATGTAATGAATTAATTTGAAATACGGATACAAACTAAAATTCAAATCCACCCCCCCCCCCCCCAAGGTCTAAGTCACTGCTCATACTCTGTCACATAAGAGCCTTGAGTAAAGATCTCACAGTTTAAGAAGTTCAATTATTAAGAAGTATGCCTTGGATTTAAAAAAAAATTAATTTAGATTTAATTTTTAACAAAATGCACAGATTCACTTGAGAGCCCTATTAATGATCGCATTTAGTTTCATAATATTATAAAATAAAATAAAAAGACCAAAATTTAATTTTTGTATATATAAAAACCTAATTTATTATTTTTTCATTGTAGTGTCTTACCAATACCTGATCCCTTTTTTTCAGATATGCCATATCGCCGTACCCATGTCCTATCTGTATCTGTGCTTCCTAGCATGGAACCATTTATTTGAACCATAAACTCATCATATATGAGTTTTATATATTGGGCATTTATCGTATTTTACCAGATCCATGAAACCCAACTTTTTTGTGAGCTAAAAAAAATGTATATCTAAATCATATTCAACTCTCTGACAATGTAGCATCTTACCATATACATACTGAACTAACTAGCATGTAGTTAATGACAACTGAAAATAACTGAAAGTCTTCACCCACCAAATTGCAAGCACTACAACAAATAAGCTCAAGATATACCTCAGAAAGCAGAGCAACAACGACAGCAGATATGCAAGGAATCTCTTCAGAAAGTTGGAAGATAACACGAACAACAGTGAAAACCTGAAGGTCCTTGAACTACAACCAATAGTGCGATGACATTATAAAAAGCAATATTGTTCTATATAATATGATTTAAGTAGAAAATGATAACAATAAAAAAGCAATGAACCTTAAATAGAGAGAAAAACAATTCAAATAAAAACTAAACAATTAGTAAACCAACCTGAATGGGTATTGAAGCAACAAGTGCAGCTTCAACACCTAATATGATGTTTGGATCACCACCCCATCGGAAGTCAATATCCATAGTGATCTGACCTTTGTTAAGGCTCTGAACACGGATACCTGATTAATTATACAATTAGGCGCACAAAAAATGTCAATAACAAGAAATATACAAAAGCATGGTGAACTCACACAGTGGAAATATTTGAACGGGTCAACAGAGTCATGATGTAATACATTTTGGCTCTAATTCTTAATTATTCTTGCCTCGTGTTTTTATTAAATCTTGAGTTGACATTGATATATATGTAATTTGCCTTCTTCTTTTTTTTTTCCTTTAAAATGAGAATAAGATAAAGCTATATGCAGCATAACTCAATAGCCAAGCTAAACAGGCAGAACAATTTTGTAGGTTGATTTGGTGTGGTTCATAAGAAGTGGGTCCAGTTCAAGGTTAGTTGGACTCACACAAGAAATATACAAAAGCATGGAGAACTAACACAGTGGAAATATTTGAACAGGTCAACAGAGTCGTGATGTAAAAAAATTTTGGATCTAATTCTTAATTATTCTTGCCTCATGTTTTTCTTAAATCTTGAGTTGACATTGATATATATGTAATTTGCCTTCTTTTTATTCCTTTAAAATGAGAATAAGATAAAGCTATATGCAGCACAACTCAATAGCCAAGCTAAACAGGCAGAACCATTTTCTAGGTTGATTTGGTGTAGTTCATTACAAGTGGGTCTAGGTCAAGGTTAGTTGGACTCTTGATTAAAGCCAATCCACACGAACCAAAACAAGCCTCGCCGAAACTGAGAATGCAAAAGCAATTAATCATATGACCTTATGAAGAAGGTATCCAAAGCCCAAGAAATCTTGATACTCCATTAGGCTACATTCTTTACATTAATGACATTCAAGAAGTTAGAAGAATGAAATACATCTTTCTCAAGTGAGACTGACAGAGAACCATCAAAATACTTGCAGCAGGGCCAACCAATGGTGTCAAAAGCATAACCCTGTGATGGAAGATACTAATTACAGGAACTTTTGCCATGCATCATTTACTAAATAAATCTCAAATACCGGTAGCATGAGTTTTTTTTTTTTTTCCTAAATCGGTAGCATGAGTTAAATTTAACTTGCATGAAAATGGTAGATTTGCTGGCCATTCATGGACGTGATGTATGCAAGAGTATAAGGAACCAGGTATTACATATGCTAAGCAAAATATTGTTATGTTGTAAAATGACTGCCTGTTAATACATACCTTCAATTTTGGGTGCCACAGTTCCAAGAGTCAGTTTGCTGAACTTCAAGGAAGTAATCCCTGGAGGTCGATACTCTTCCAACAGAGGTTCAACAGATTCTTTTATTATCGCTGTGGCTGCCTGAAAATGAAGACAACAAACATTCTTAGGATTTCTTTCTGGATTGAGGGGTGGGGTAAGTTAAAATTTGAACCATTGAAGTAAAAACAAGAGGACTGCTGGTAACCCAAAATAAAAATGAAATAGATTACAGCAATGATGCACTAATAGATCTTATGATCTAATCAGATATTAGATGATGGCAGAAAGTTCCTCTAAGCACAAATTTCTTCATCAAATTATCTCTTTATTTACTTATCAAAAAAAAAAAAAATTATCTCTTTGTTTAAACTTTCTACACAAGCACATAGACATTGAAAAATAATGTTACTTACAATAGATTTGCAATGAAATTAAATTCTAGTGCAAGGCATATTGTTGATGTTTATGTTGTTTCCTCTTTTCTCTATTCCTCTAACTTCAAGAATGCAACACCCCCTTAGTGGACAATATCGATTTAGAAAATGAAAGCAACAACCAATATACAGACAATATTACTCTTGCTTTTGGGAATGAAATGATATAGTAGAGGCCACATTCCGGACAAGGGAGGTAAGTGTAATCTCTAAAACATAAAGGAGGTCCATATAACTTCACTTCTCCTCAAAGGAAGTCAGTGTAATTAACTCTTTTGCAGCGTGAAATGGGGGTAGAGGAGGATGAGGTTTTAAGTGAACGAAGGCTATAATGCAGTGCTTTATAGAATGCAGCAACCCCTTAGTGGACAATTTCAATTTAGAAAATGAAAGCAACAACCAATAGACAGACAATATTACTCTTGCTTTTGGGAATGAAATGATATAGTAGAGGCCACATTCCTGACAAGGGAGGTAAGTGTAACTTCTGAAACATAAAGGAGGTCCATGTAACTTCACTTCTCCTCAAAGGAAATCAGTGTAATTTACTCTTTTGCAGCGTGAAATGGGGGTAGAGGAGGATGAGGTTTTCAGTGAATGAAGGCTATAATGCAGTGCTTTAAAGAAGTATAAATAGGTAATATTTATAGAGAAATTTATAAAGAAAGTTTGCAAGAACAATTATAGATCTCATTGAAAGAAGACAAAAATAATGTACAGTTTAAACAGTGTAATAATCTCTAATAACCACAGGAAATACGTTTCTGCTTTAATTATTAGTTATTTGTGTTTTGAGATTGGTGGGTAAGGTGCCACCAGAGAATACCAATCTTCACTAGGACCAGAAGGATCATTCACACTATCCCATTAACATTTCTTAAAGCTAATAAATATCAGGTATCTTATACTTTTTTTTTTTTTTTTTTGATAAGTATCATGTATCTTATACTATTAATTATGTGCATGATAAGCGCTGAATATTTTTGCATATTCGAGCCCTCAAACGTGCACTTGTTAATGCCTTGGTAATACCTATATCTCGGTTCTTATGTTTGTTTTTGTTTATTTGCCATTTGTAGGTCTTTACCCGAAGAGATGGACAATTCTATGGATTTGAAGCTTACACTGGTATTCCCAATGCTTAAGGAGATGTTCCGGACCTTCCAAGTCAATTTAGGATTCAACCGGGAAGATTTGGAGGAAAAAGTGCCCTAAAGCTCGAGCTCAGCTCCCTAATGCTCGAGCATTTCCAAAAGCTTGAGCATTAATTCTCAATACTCGTACACTTGTCAAAGAAAAGGAAAAAAATGGCTAATTGTTCATATGCTCAAGCATTGCCATCAAGAGCTCCAGCACAACCATCCAAAGCTCGAGCACTCTCAAGCTCAAATCCTCCTGGGAAGATAAAAAGACGCCACACAAATCTTGGAAAATGGCTCGAGCACAAGGGTTGAAAGCTCGAGCGCTCTCGAGCATAATTATACCTGGGGAATACCAAAAGACGCCATGTTTTCTCGGATAAAATAGCTCGAGCACAAGAGTCTAATGCTTGAGCATAAACCTCAAAAGCTCGAGCATTGCCTTTCAATGATCGAGCACAAGCCAAAGCTCGAGCACTAAAGATGAAAGTTCGAGTACAAGACACTTAGAAGTTTCCAAAAGTTGCGGGAAAGTTATGATTCTCTTATACTTTGTTTCCTTATGGGTCTAATTATCCCCAAAGGCTGTAAAACCCATCCAATAGGGATTGGGACTTGATCTCCACTATAAAAGAAGATGAGAAGACGCAAAGAGGAGCTCGTTGTCGGCTTAGGGTTTTCAAAGTTCTCAATGAAGATTGAAGAAGACGATCTTAAGAAGAATTGCAATCCATGGAGAAGATTTCTGCAACAACAACGATGCTATCTCTCATCTCTATGAGTAACTAAATCATCTCTTAGGGCATTGATGTAACCCTAGACAAAGTAGCATGGTTTGATTGTCCTTAACTTTGGGGGTTTTCTATGACTTATGTATATTGATTGCATGATTGTGAGCAATTGACTTAGTTGTACTAAGTAATTGGGTTTTTAATGATTAAAATCATTTTTAATGAAATTAATCTCGTCTTAGAATTGATCTCGTTATAATTGAAATCAAACTTCTATTTTATGTGATTATCGGAGTAGTGATCATGCAATGGTACTTAATGAATGTGTGAGTGAATATTTTAATAATCCATGCTAAAAGAAGACCGGTTGTACCACACCATATATTAGAATAGTTAGGTACACAATTCATGCCAACCAGAGATGGGTTATGGTTTAATGTTTATTCATAATTATTCTTTTTAATTGAATTATAACGTGCTTGTAGTCATTCAATTCCCGAATATACAAAAGAGTAAATTCCCCGATAAGTTGAGACAATTGACCATAATACGAGGTTAGCAGTGAAGTCAAGCCCTAAGTCCTTCTTAACTTGATCTTATTCTTTGATAATTTAGTTTAATTTGTTTTCAAAATTGCGTTAGAAATAAAGATATCACAAAATCATCTTTCATTTAAATCAAATAGGGATTAATTTTATACTTGACAATACCATCACGATCCTTGAGGTTCGACACCCTCAATATAGCCCTATCTTACAAGGATTCATTCTATTACAAGTGGTATTGTATAATTGACACACAAAAGTAGATCATATAAAAATAAGCAGAGAAGCTTACATCAGAAACATATGGCCACAGTTTGCTCAACTGCTTATTCAACCATTTCACCTGAAAGAGAGAGCCACAAAAAGAAAACAGGGCATTAACGTGATACATTCACTACCAACAAAATCAATTTAACTTCACGGAATGAACATCTCTTAAACTATTTCATAAAGTAATTCATTTAGGCTTCGCAACATCTTTCACCATTCGTGCTTAAAAACATATACTCTGTGATACTCCAGCTTTAATGAAATTAATAAAGACGATTTGGAGAACTGTACAACACATTCATCACTGTAACAAACCAATATTAGACACTGCAAGGTTCAACAACCAGTAGATCTGATCCGGATCATTATGATTATAGTAGCTAAAATATTGGAGGCAGACTAAATAAAGTAAATGGCCATGATTGTGTAGGAGAAGATAAAAGGAAAGGGGGGAGAATTCCATTCAGAGCTTCAATAGGTAACTGAACAGACAAAAAATATGCTAACCTGTTCATAAACAGGGAAAGATATCCAATCAGGAAAATTATCACCACAAATTTTCTTCAGGTCATCTCTGTTGAGGGACCCAAGGAGTTTTATATCAGCTGCCTGTCAGACAAATGAATAAAATGACGAATTTACACAGTTATAATAAGCAACGGTCATCCAGAAAATGAATGCATATCACAAATAAAGAAGTATTTGCTTAAAAAAGAAGCAACAACAACTAAATCAATTTTGCTAACGTTATATTTGCTAGATAAACTATTAAAAACTACGAAGTATGAACCCATCTAATGTATATGGCCAGAAAACCCTAATCAACAATTCTCTGATAATGGTACTTCCGCAACAGATATGGAGTCAGCAATCAGATAAGAAGGATTGATCAAGCAATATGAACAAGAGAGTCATAACTCATAAGCATAAGTTGCATAACAACTGGTACTAGTCATGGACTGAAGAAAAAAGCAGGTCAGAAAGTCCAATAAAATTCATTCTGTATGCAACTTTCACTAATTTTCCCCACCGTCGCCTAGTCCACTTTTTAATGAGTAATAATTTTTCTGAATTTCTTCTCATAAAAAAGAATTTACTTGTTTTACATTTCAAAGCATACAAAACAAAATCTAATTTTTTTCACTTTTCCCTCCATAAGCAGATATTTTGGGAGAGATTTTATTCAAAATGACTTCATCCTCAAGTTTGAAGCATGTTCCTTCATGAAGTGTTACTGCAACATTCAGAGGTTATTCTTTCCAGTAACTGTTAAATGACAACAATACAATCTAAATTTCCACAGGAAATATATTTTAATCTTCAAAGTGATCATCAGAATCTAATGGCAAATCCCAATTCACAGGACTTCCACTCACTATATTATGACAAAAGAATCCCTCCTCCCTTTTTGATATTGAATTGCTTCCTAGAGATATCATCAAATACTTGAGGTAAATCCAGTCAAAAATAGTTTAAATAGATATTTTATTGTTTACTGCATAAACCTCTTCTCATGGAACAATCCTAAAACAAGTATCCTTTTTAGTTGGCAGATCAACCAGTGCAGCAGCAGTTGGCTTTTTCCTAGTCCAAAATCTATGAGCGTCACATCTATTGCTCAAGTCTTATATTGCAATAACAGTTTAATGTACTGCATACTCTTGTCTAGAAGAATGGCAAGAACTTATGCAGTCAAAACAACAATTAATCCTAACTGAGGTGGTAAAGAAGTCCCATCAACAAAGATTTTTGTCACCCAAAAAAGATCACCTCCGGGGAAAAAATTCAAACACGTTTCTAGGTCCATTTTATTTCCTGACATTCTCTTGGCATACAAAAAATAAAGTAAGTCTTGGCAATCCATCACTATGTATAATTATCAATTTTATCTTTGAAGTAACAGCGACAAATATACTCCTGATATTGAACCATTGCATTGCAAGCAATAGAAATAGAGTACAATTCTCATCACTCACATAGACGACTTAACAGCGAAGGCCAAATATCTCAATTGAACAAGTAAAGAACATCACAAATTGATGAAAATTTGACTAGAAGTAAACAAAATGACAGATTGATAGAAAATTTTGATGAGAGAGAGTAGCGATAGACAATATATATAGATATAGATATAGAGCAAAATCGTCACTGATACTTATACCTTTGCGATTCGTTTGTTGCTTCGATAACCCATCATATGACGCCAACCAGCCATCAACACGATCCCGACGATCGTCCCCATGAAAATTCCAGAAATCAAGCCCATTTTCTAAGATTTTGTATCGATATTTCTGAGAAAAACAAATGAACACGCAAATCAAATCACAAGTCGACATTAAATTGACAGAGAGAGAGCGAGACACTTACACTGAGTTCGAAGAGGAATACAGAGTACACTGACCCAAACGATACGAGCAATTCGGATCGATGTGAGAGAAAACCAAATGGACTAGGCACTCCCTGTCAACCGTTATCAAACCCTCACTTTTGTCTCTCTCCCTCAATAATACCTCCCGAAACGTTACTCTCTCTCTCTAAACGTTACTCTTTCTCTCTCTAAACGTCGCTATCGAATTCGTGTCCTGGGCATTCCCTCCACAAGAATTGTGTAAAAAGGCCTTACAATTAAAGACTGGTAGGCCTTGCCTCCAACTATCAAACTGCATTAAATTTCCGGATTGAAATCCATTGCACGTCCGTTTCGTTTTGCAGTTACACCCCTGACTTTTGTCATAATGATATTATTGTCTCTGTTCACAAGGATAAGAGATTTTTCAAAAGAGGGGTATATAAATTGATTTTTGAGATACGATTGGATTGGGGCTTTTTCACTTTTGGAGTGTGCAGTGAATTAACTTGGGAACTAAAGATAATTTTAGTCTGTTGTGAGCATTTGGGAAAATACTCTAATTGTACCTTTTATGTCTCAAATTAGATAATCACTAATTAATTTGTTTTTAAAAAAAAAATCTTTATATATTTTAACAGTTTCTTGTTGTCGTTGGTTCTATAAAATTTATATTTTAATAAATTTGTTCGAATTCAAATACGAAAAAGCTTACTATATTCTCAGTATTCCTACGTACACAATATCTGCACCAGTGAGTGCAGTGCATTCAAAGATCACAAATTCAAGTATTGTAATTATTTTTTTATTTGTCTTTCATATTCAAAAACCAAATAGAGAAAAGTATGGAAAAAATGTAAAAGGGTTTGCAAGGTAAATGTTTTGCCTCGAAACAATGGGACCGAAATAAAAATAGATTAATTTGTTGAAGATATATTCTTACAAGTATTCTTTCTTCATGTTACTCAATATATATATATATATATATATATATATATATATATATATATATTTTCCTAAAAATAAAATAAAAAGATCTTTTCCTCAATACTAGCACCTATAAGTATTAGTTCAAATGATATAGTCTTTTCTTTTTAAAGAAAAAATTGAGTGTTGGAGTCTTTATTAAGATAATCCCGTAAGTGTTGGAGTCTTTATTAGGAATAGCCGGGCATCTTACCATTTGAGACATCATTTTTTAAAACTAGTGGATAACAGCTTGTGCCTTGTGCAAGTATGGAATATGTTTTATCACCATTGAAGGAATCAGCTGGAGTCCTTGTGAAGGTAAAAGTCACACATACAGCCATTGACAAGCTTCACATATTCACATATTAGGCTCTTGCAAACTTGAAATTTAAGTCAAAGAATCAATTATATATTTTTCGAATGGCTCAACAAAACAAAAACGAAAGAACTATAAAGAGGCCTTAATTTTCACTTTATAATTACTAATAGAACTTTATGAAAGTGAGAAATTCTTTGTACTTACTCTCAACTTCCAATTGTGTCCGCTGTTGTCCAAATGGCTTTTGTTTCACGCGTTTTGTTTGGGCTTTTAAAGTAGTTGGAAACAAAATGGCATTTTGATTTATTACATTGTCATTCTCAACCAAAAATAATAATAAATTAAATTAAAAGTCTGAGTCTTGCATTTCTACACCAACCCAATACATAAATCGTGAATGTGAACACGAGGCCACCTAACACTAGAACGAGAAATATGTATAAAGTGAGTGGGACGAAAATGCAATTGTAAATGTTGAGATAGTTGTTCAAATAATAAATATTATAAAAATTATGTAATAAAATACAATGCAACTAGTAACTACAATATTTTTGCATCGTACTTTAGGCTTTTGGGATAAGCCAATAAAAAGAATCTAATCACAAAAATTACATGATTAATAAAAAATTATAGACTAACAGTAACATACATGATTAACATACATAATTAATAAAAAATTATAGACTAATGGTAACATATTTACCTAGTGTGACTCAGTAGTATTTTTTCAAAATAAATGATGAGAATTTAAGTCCTTAAAAGGGCAAAAAAATGAATGTATGAGTGCGTGTAAGTATTGGGGCGATTTTAAGTGAGTTTATCTACCCGATCAAAAATTCTTGTTCTTGCCCGATACCGATTTAAACAGGACGGGTACTTGCGGGACAAAAATATATATTAATCCCTAGAAAAAAATACTCAATGCCCAAATTTAATGCAAACTAATATGGTTTTTAGTTTCGATGGGGAGAAAGCAATTTAATACACGAGTGCACCAAGAAATTGAGAAAACCATTAAGCATGAGGTATATCATTTCCATTGGTTTTTTTTCCCTGGTAAAAATATATATCTTCTAGTGAAAAAAACAAGAAAATCAATCGTGAGAAATATCACATTATCTCCGCAACCAAACATACCCACAAATCCAAACAACTTTGACTATATCTCCCTGTCTGACCAGCCGACACATGTACTTAAATTATAAAGTTGCCCACCAAATCACCAAAATGACAGGGTCTACTTTTTCTACCTTCACACTAACAAAAAAGCACCTCCGTATAACAGAACAAAAACAACCCAGCGCACGTTAGCACCACTACCACCATTCGGCTGGTTGCCGACAACCGTGATAGGCGGCGATAGAGCATCATTCGACGACGGAGGCTCCACGTAGGGCGGAGGCGGAGGTTGGTTGAGGCTCGGTGGGAGGCCGAGCCCCTGGTTCACCGTGATCTCGAAAGCCATGCCCTTCTGGCACTGCACGCCGTCGTCGGCGTCGGAGAAGTAGTAGTTCGGACCTTTGATGGTCAACGGCACGGCGATGGCCAATGCCTGGCTGAACTGGTTGCTCCCTCCGTTGTACTGGAACGTGTCGGTATCCAATGAATCGTCGATACTGCAGCTTCGGTAGGTCGTCTCGTTGTAGGTTTGGATCACCGTTAGATTCGTATTCGTGTTGAATACTACACATCACGAGGAAAAAGATTAAAAAAAAAAAGTCACGATTAAGTAATTTATTGTTTGGTTGTTGAGAAAATTAACCAATTCATAATTGACTTGTGATTTGAATTGGTCTTGATACAGCTAGCAAAGAAAGGTATCAATAATAAAGTACAAATTTCAACTGGTTCTACAATGTGTGTGTATTTTATTCGAAAAACTGCATATGACACGGAGAGAGTTGCTCTGTTTGGTTCAAGAATTTGGGAGGAGGAAATAAGACTCATCTGATATCCAGTTTAAAATCCAAGAAAATAGAAAGATTAATCGCGAGAAGGAATGAAGCATTTATACTGAGCTAAATTTACGTTTTCCCTTTCCCCTCAATTTTCTTTGCAACCAAACAGGGGTAAATTAAGTTCGACTTTAATTGAAAATATTAAGAAATAAAAATTGATGCTTGGATTAGCTAATCAAAAGTTACTTTCTGTTCTCTTCATTCCTTGCATTTTCTCGGTTACCAAACAATGAACACTCACGCTTAATCTTCGACCGAGCACATGGCGAAAATATACTATATTTGATTTTCGACCACCACATCAGAAGCTGGTTTTTTTTTTCCCCCTTTTTTTCCCCTCCATTTTCTTGGTAACCAAACGAACAGTTTATGAAAGAGAAAAGTGTGCTATGAGTTTGAATTTACTTACTCAGAAAGTCCCCGAGATTGAAGGTTTGATTGGCGGCCCAAGAAGAGTAATTGGTGGCGGAGGAGTTGGCGGAGAGGTTGAAGAACCACCCGGCTGTGCCACCAACAGTGTGGTTGGTGTATGCGGTTGCAGGGGTGTCCGATGCAACTGCAGTGATCAAAAGAGCCATGACCGTCAGATACGCCGTCGTCGCCGATGCCATGGCCGGTTAGCTGAGATTTGGATCGTTTGATCTGAAATCGGAGGTGGGTGATGATTGTGATTACTGATTCGACGCGTTTTATCAAACCGGGGGTAAGGTATTAATAAGGGACGGTGTGTACTGAATAATGGATGTTACGAAGCCCCAGGAAGGTGAGTGTGCCGTTTTTTGTGTTTGGGCACATGGCATCATAGGTCTGATCCTATTTTTATTTTTTGTTTTTGTTTCGAAAATTAATTTTAGCATAAATTGGATAAACAAAAAATCGTAATTAAGCGGGCTTAAACGGACTACAGGGGTGATGTGAGACAATTTTTAACAAATCCAATATAGATTAAAGGGTATTTAGTATTATTAAATAAATAAATATATATATATATATGTTTATTATATTGTATGTTATATTAATTATTTATTGAATTAGATTAAATATAATAATTATTTATTATGTAATTTATTTAGCGCACCATTTAATATATTAACAATCCTTCATCTCAAATAATTAGATTTATTTTAATCTAAATTTAAATAATTACCATATGTATTAAAACATTAAATCTGATAATTTAGAAATTTTATAAATTATAATTAATTTGATACGATGCAATCTGTCACACCCCACATTTTAACACAAGATAAAAATCTAAGGTATAACTTTCATCAATTCTCAACATACATTTTCCATAATAGAACTACGGTGAATCCCATCATTCAATTTAATAAACATGAGAGTCTGACAAATTTTATACAAATCCATAAATAAAGGTGCAATTCCCTCTAGTAAAACAAAACATCTATGACCACTGAATCAACTCGATAAAATTTCATAAAACATTAACTTGATTACAATAATCATAATAAAGGAAAACCGAGCTAAACTAAATCAATGCACAACGAGCTAAAATCCGTTCCCGTCACGTGTCACCATCACGTTCCTACTCTACGAGCACCTGAAATGTGATAATGGAGTGAGCTCAGCAAGAAATGCTAAACACAATCATCGTTCAGCAAGCTAACCTTACCTTGTATTCCCATATATATAAGCAACTCAATAAATTCATTAATTAAATATGTATATTCTAGTTAATTATAAACTCAATAAATAACCATCATTTATTTTAAGTAAATTGTCCAATAAAGTGATGTAATTCGTATAGTCCCTGACTACCGAAAACACACGTGTGGCTGGATTGTACGTCTACTCCCCAGATGATTCATGATCACGTCCACACAATAAGGGCTCATTCGACCCATTGCCATAATAAAAGGGTAGTGCACTCCCAAATAAGTAGGTCCCTGACCATACCCAAAAGTCATCATAGGGTCAACCCTGACTACCCATTCGACTAATCCAAACTCATCCATTAATTATTAATTATGATAAATTACGAAATATATTATCAATTAATAATTTAAATTAATAAGTAATACACCCAAACACACTTAATATTTTTAGAATAAGAATACTATTTTTCCTTATTTCCTTTAGTTTAAAAATCAATTGAAAAGAATAATAATAAAATATAAAGAAATAGTATTTTATTTTATTTCCTTTAATCAAATTGTATTTTATTTCAATTTATTTTCAATATCAATGAAATATGAAAAATAAGAGTAACTTGCAATCTAACCCAGCCATCACGTGCGTACAAGTCACTGTAATTATGGGCTAAACTCAGATGTATAAAATATCAAATAAACATATGTATAAACAAATGCCATTGATGCACGCATTATCCAGTCCTGCTACGTGATTGACATGAACCAAAGTAATCATGTATACAATGCAATACTCTCTATATATATCAATCACAAACAGACAGTCTCTAAACTCAATTTTCGCAAGTTATATATATATATATATATATATATATATATATATATAGGTAAGAATGACCAAAAAGTAAGAGTATTCAAATTGGTTAATATTAAATCATATAAAAATCCTAATCAAGTTGCAATACTACTGCCAACTATAATCCGATGCATACAATCACTTAAGAATTCTAAAGGCATACTAGATTAAATTTAAGAAAAATTCAAAGTTACACCCTAACCATTCCATCCCAATTAGACTCATAATGTACCAGCAATCCAATCAATATCTTAAGAAATTTATCTATCAACCTGTATCATCAGTAACCTAAATTATGGGACTTTGATTCGGATCATCAACTATTTTATATAACAAGATTAGGATCGTACAATTTCGGTTCAATCAAAAAAAATGCAGACAAGGCTTCAATTCCTAATTCACATGTTCGTTTCTAATCATATATACATATATCCATATAAAGATGCTTGCTTTCATCTACATGCCTACATGAATTATACATACATGTATATATATAGATCCAAAGTTAACATACATAATAGACAATTTATAATTCTATGATCCAGTCCTCGAACCATATCTCATAGACTACATCAGACAAATTGTTCATAACAATAACTAAATATTAATAATCATTCTGATTATTTTGGTGAGATCAATATATCGTAACATGTAGACTTATATTTCAATTTACTAATATAATAGTAACATAACCAATCTTTACAAATTTAAAGAAACCAATAACCAAAGTTCCTGTAATTAAATTTTATCTAATCTTTAATAATAAATAAATCTCGTCCAATTAAATTCAAGACAACAACCTATACAACTATATTATCCTAATCGTCACTGTCCTTAAGAATATTTTTTTCCTACTATTTATTAAAACATACAAGATTCATCAAAAGCAAGTTACAAATATCTATAAGAGTACAATGCAAGATTAACTTGCCTCAAATTTCGTTTCACCTTCCTTTCCAGACAATCGACTATTGAAATATAATTTCTCCTTCTTCTCTAGGCAATTTCTCGGTCACCATCTTTCCTTCTGACTACTACAGACGTCAATATCACTCTCTATATCTCACGCTACTACAGACGTCAATATCACTCTCTATATCTCACGCTTCTCTCTTCATTTCTTTCTTTTTTTTGTTTTACAAAATGATATCTCTGTAGAACTGATACAGCGTGAGTTATAAAAGATAATTATAACTGTAGTTTAGATAGTTTAGGATTCCTTTTTGAAATTTAAATTTTTAAAAAAACTCTAATATCTCTAATATAACATTTAAATACTAAATAAAATATAATATACAAAATTTAAGGATATGTTTGGTACGGTGGATTTGAAGGGGGAGGATAAGATTAGTTATGAGGGAAAGGGAAGAAAAGGGAAGGGAAGGATTATTTTAACCCTCCATTGTGTTTGGTTAGTCAATGAAGGAAAAGAAAGGAAAGGATAATAATTATGTTTGGGAGGAGAAAGGAAAGGGAAGGATAATAATAAATTTACTATTATACCCCCATTATATATATATATATATATATATATATATATAATAAAGAAACAAGAAAAGGAAAGAAAATTTTCTTTCTTGAACAAGGGCGATCCAGATCCGGCTATAGCACCTTCGTTCTTGAAGGTTCCGATCCAGGGCAAATCATTTCAGCCTTCCCAATCTCGGCCTCCATCTCTATTATCGTTCTCAACTCTCTCTCTCTCTCTCTCTACAAGATTCAGAAGTTCAAAACCCAAACCCATATATTTCAGTTTATCTTTCTGTCTGCAAGAATCAAAAATTCAAAACCCGTATCAGTATATCAGATTGTTCAGAAAATCAAAACCCATATTTTTCAAGTTTCCATCGTTGCTATTCCAGTTCGGGTTCGCCATCGCCGCTGTTCCAGTTCGGGTTCGCCGTTGCCCGCCGTCTCTCCATTCTTTCTGCAACTGCTATCTTGTATGTATATTGATTTGAGGGTAAAATTGGCATCATCAACCATTACCTTCCCTTTCCTTCCATTTCCTCCCATTTTTGGGAGGTTAAACAAATCACTGTGGAAGGCTATGCATAACCCTCCAAACCCTTCCCTTTCCTTCCCTTCCCTTCCACCCATTTTACCCAAACACAGTTTTTTAGTTACCCTCCATCACCTTCCCTTCCCTTTCCTCCCATTTCTACTCTACCAAACTGAGCCTAAGGGTTTTACACAATCTATTTACAAGCCTTAATAGGGTAGAACCATCACAAAAGTCATAACTTTTTTAATTGCTAAATTATAAAATAATTTACCGTCACACTTAAATAATTATTAATTTTAAAATGCATTATTGTAATCATTCTTACTTTTCACAAGGTCCCTATTTATTAATTTTCCTTGAATTTATTGTCACAACAGAATAATTAATTTCTTGGGCAGCTTCTAGATAGATTTAGTCAGGAGATGACCGTTGTAATCATACTTATTTTTCACGAGGTCCCTATTTTTTGTTTTTTTTTTTATATATGTAAAGTTCGAATCGAATGAAGTCATTTTCAAGAAAAGCATGAAACTCAGCCCGTGCCAAGCCCACAGCGTTAGGCCCGACCTGAACTCTTGAACAACTGAAACATCTGGGCTCGTTCCTGAGTTCCCAAAATCACAGCCCGGCCCGGCCCTTTATGCACACTCAAACAAAGCATTATTTTGTAAACAAGGACTTCTTCACTTCTTTATTTAAATTTGAGTAGTAATTTAGAGACCAAATTAAATTATAATTTCTTAAATTTTTAATAAACTCCTTAACAATGAAATTTGGGCTGCAACTCAAAGGATTCCAAATACAGTGGATGTTTTTGAGTGTATTGACCATTAATTTCAAATTACATCTATAAACATCAAAATAATAATTGGTCAATGTTTAATTTATAATAGTGTGTTTGTCTTCCTAAGAATTACAGTAATCAGAGGCATCCTAACTTTTTTTCAAGTGCTTGTTTGCTTCCCAAACATTTCATTTGAATCTCAATGATTGATCGAATTTTAATCATTTTTCGTGAATAAGTGTAAGTTTATTAGATAACCATTAATGCTACGTTCGATGTGTAAGAATGAAAATCGAATGAAAATCGAATGGTCATTCTCATTATATTGTTTGATTGTAAATATGAAATGTGTAGGAATAAAATAACAATAACCATTCTATTGTTTGGTTAGACTAATTTAAAATTTAGAATGGAATAAATTTCAAATTGAGTTCTCCAAAATATCTCTCGTAGTAACAAATGAATTAAATTAACAAAATGACATTCTTCTATAATTTTTTAAAAATAAATTGTGGTAGTGGCGGTAGTGGATGGTGGTGGAGGTGGAAAG